TGCTAGTACAGACAATGTCAGACAGTCCATCATCCCATTGTCTAGACATATCCAACACTTTCATTGGGAGTCCATCTTTTATTTGGAAGTAGGGATGCATATTGCATTGTGTCTTCACATCTGGATATAGTAGTCTCCATTACTCCACCACTATACATTCCAATTTGCATGATGGATTCCTTATATTATAGAGAACATATGGTATTTGTCCTTTTGGGATTGAAATTATGAAGTATTATAGCAGTGGAAGCTCTTTGGTAGATGTTTTCTCTCCCAGTGGTGGGCAGAACGCAGACAAGGAGTAGAGAGATCTGAGTTCTGATCCTGCCTCTGGTCTTCAGCCTGTGACTTAGTGTCTTGGAGATACAACTTCTTCATCCTTGGATGGATTCTTTCAGAAGAAACAGGTTAACCTAGAACAGCAAGGGATGGAAAAAGCAGGGATAGGGGCCAGTGTGGCTATTCCTCCATCTGCAGTGCCAGCATCTCATATGGGCACCAGTCCGTCACAGCTGCTCCACTTCTTATTTTTAAAATATTTATTTTATTGAAAAGGCAGATCTACAGAGAGAAGGAGAGACAGAGAAAAAGGTCTTTTATGAGCTGATTCATTCCCCAAGTGGCCGCAACTTCTCTACAACTGTTCCACTTCCCAACATGTTCCAAAAAAGTTCCAGGTTTGTGGCCTGGGAAAGCAGTGGAGGACAGCCCAAAGCCTTGGGACCCTGTACCCACATGGGAGACCCAGAAGAAGCTCCTGGCTTCAGATCAGCTTGGCTTGGCTCCAGCCTTTGCAACCAGTTGGGGAATAAGTCAGGGATTGGAGGATCTCTGTGTCACTCCTCTCTGTAAATCTGTCTTTCTAATTAAAAAAAAAAAAAAAAAAGCAGGGCAAGAGTTTCCGCCCCAGGATATGAGGGAGAAAAACCAGGATGCTTGGCCAGGGTGTTCAGGATGTGGTGAGAGCAGTGAGGCGGGTGCTGGGTTGTAACCTGAGCTGGGCATTGGGTCAGTGCTGGCCTGAACGTGTGACCCACACAGTACCAGGCCACTGTGGAAGCCAATGCTCCAACGCTCAGCCAGTGTCATCGTCCCACAAATAACTCCACAGTCAGCTGTGGCCACCAAGATCACAAAAGCATTTGTCCCAGGAACATGCCATGTGGCCTCGGCACATCTACCACGGCCAAGCACAGATTCTGGGACCAGCAGGGAGAACAGGACAACGAGGATAGTAGATGGCCACATCCTGTGGTCACACTGACCCCCCCAGGACCCTTAAGATGTTCAGATTTGATAGGAAATAAGACACTACTGAGAAATTTCATGGAAAATGGAATTATAAATATAATTTGGTGCAAACAAAAATTGACATCCATGCATACAAAAGGTCCTCAAAATATTCATGGAAAATGTATATTATTTAAAATCTATGTGTGGATTTCAATTTTGCTTAAAAGATTTTCTTTATTTGGAAGAGTTACATAGAGAAAAAGAGAGAGCTTCCATCTGTTGGTGTGCTCCACAAATGGCTGCAACAGCCAGAGCTGGGCCACACCAAACTCAGGCTCTTCATCTGGGTCTCCCATGTGATGCAGGGCCCATGCACTTGGGCCATCTTCTGCCTTTGAAGGCATATATTAGCAGGAACCTGGATCAGAAGTGTAGCAGCCAGGTCTCAGGCTGGCACCCATCTAGCATACAGGCATTCATTTCTCATATCTGCTTTTATGGGAACTGTGGGAACAACTGGCTCAGGACTTCTGGTGCCAGAATCCCTAAAGGTGAGCCCACTTTGTCCACAAGTCCTTCTGCCTCCATGTGGTGACAGTCCCAAATCACCCATTGTACAGGACACCCAGGAAGCGCAGTGACAGCATGGGCCAGCTGCAGGCATCTGGTGGGTTAACATCGTGAAAAGACCTGCTGTAGGAGGGAGAAGGGGAATAGGGATGAAGAGGCTCAGAGCTCCCAGACCAGCAGACACATAGTGAGTCTGTCCTCAGGATGGGGCAGCCAGACAAGCCGGAGTGGGAGAGTGGTGCAAGCTCAACAAAGACCTGCCAGTCACGTGCTCTACCCATCACCACATCCTCACCAGGCACCCTGTGGAATTAGGAAGGAAAAGGCCCTCCAGGAATATTCCTACCCCCACCAATCAAGGACTCCCCAGCTGCCAGCCAGCAATGGAAACAGTCCCTTCCAGATTCCTGGCCAGCCTCCACAGGGCAGCAGGGCAGGGACCTCCGTGTGGTTTACAGAAAGCCCTCGATGGCCAGACAGCTGGTGCCTACCCCTGGGTAGCTGACAGCCCCACACATTTTCAACTTCCACTTGCACCTGCTGGACTGTGGGCAGTACACTCAAATTGTCCATCCTCCAGCATGCTCAGAGCCTTCATGGCAACGATGAAGCTTCTAGAATAGTGGTTGATGCTTGGGAATGGCTCCATAGGGCAATGGCTGCTGCCCAGTGCCTTGGCAGTCAAGTAGCAGGGACTTGTAACCAGGGAGTTACCAGTCCCTAAACTGAGAAGTCCCTGGCAGATGTGGCTTCAGGTATTGCTTGATTCAGGGACCCGAAGGGTGGTGTCGCCAGAACCTGGCTTGTCTCTGTCTATCTCTCAGCTCCTCCTGGTCTGCACTGGCTCTTTTCTTCAGCCAGTCATCCACAAAGGCCGGACAGTCCTGGTGGCATTAGGCCATGCATCTTTATGGATTTAAGGCAGGGCAAGAGGGCACCTGTCCATTCTCCCAGAAGCCTCAGAGCCTCCTCCCTTGGCCTGGGGCCTGCCTGTCACTGGAACCAGGCGAGTGTGTAGTGCATAGGTGTCTGCAGGTCTGTGCAGGCAGGGGTGTGGGGTAGGCAAAGGATCTTCTATAGGTCACCAGGAGGAAAGCAGTGGAGTCACCGCTCCAAATCCCACCCAGAGGTCCTGGCAGGACTGAATGTTCTGTGGGTCCCCATGACAGCCTCGTAGACAGTGTCCACGGGGATGTCTCCCTGAAGAGTTACAGTAAACTTTGGTAGGTAACATCTTTTTTTTTTTTTTCATTTGAAGAAAGAGATTTTCCATCCTCTGGTTCACTCCCCAGATGGCCATAACAGCTAGGACTGGGCCACGTTGAAGCCAGGAACAACTTCTGGGTCTCCTATGAGCAGCAGGGCCCCAAGCACTTGGGCCATGCTGCACTGCTTTCCCAGTGAGCTGGTGAGCGGGGAACATGAGGAGTGGAGCATTTGGGACATGAATTGGTGCCCATTTGGAATGCCAGCTTTGTAGGCAGTGGATTTTTTATTATTATTATCAGTAATAATGTATTTAACTCAGGCTCGGCACAATAGCCTATTGTCTAAATCCTTGCCTTGCACCCATCAGGATTCCATATGGGTGCCAATTTGTATCCCAGTTGCTCCACTTCTCATCTAGCTCCCTGCCTGGGAAGCAGGAGATTACAGCCCAAAGCCTTGGGACTCTGTGCCTGTGTGGGAGACCCAGAAGAAGCTCCTAGTTTCAGATCATCTCAGCTCCGGCCGTTGTGGCCACTTTGGGAGTGAAGCAACAGATCTTTCTGTATCTCCTTCTTTGTATGTGCCTTTTCAATAAATAAATAAATAAATAAATCTTAAAAAAAATTTATTTAACTCTTTCAAATAGGCAAAGTTATCAAGAAAAGGAGAGACAGTAATTTTCCATTCACCAGTTCATTCCCCACGCAGCCAGAGCTGGGCCTGTCCAAAGCCAGGAGCTTCTTCCAGCTCTCCCACATGGGTACAGAGGCCCAAGGACTTGGGTCATCCCCCACCTACTTTCCCAGACCATTTGCAGAGAGTTGGATCTGAAGTGGAGCAGCTGGGATGCGAACCTGTGCCCATATGGGATGCCAGTGCTGCAGTGCCAGCGCCATGCAGGCAGCAGCTTTACTTGCTGTGGCACAATACCAGACCTCTGATAATGTTTTTAATCAACCTGTCAATCAGAGTAAAGCTGACACTGAAGTCTTCACAACTGAGGCCATCCGCTGTCATTGACATGGGACATCTTAGGAGAATGGTTCCTTACAGTGGAAGCGTCCTCCCCTTCCCAGACCCTGCTGTCTGCGTTTGGTAACTCCCAGGGTTGCATGGTTGCTGGCCGCAGGCTGCTCTGAGCTTCAGCCCATGGGGCTGCTGACTTTTATCTGCATTTCCTGGAGGAGAGTCCCTGGGCTTAGAGGATCCAGATGGCCTGGCCACTGCCCACCTCTGAGTGCCCCCACCTTCAGGGCCTGGCAGGCCACCCAGGCTTGCACATGCCACCTCAGGCTGTGCCCTCATCACCCACCCTTTTGCTACACTGCCTGCTGGCACTGCTTCCTGGTGTCTGAATCCCACATCCTGGCAGCAGGTGGGCCATATCAGTCCCCACCCACCCGTCCCCACATCTGCTGCCTCCATTCAGGCTTCCTTTAAGCTTTCTTCTCCTAAGAGAAGCCTCCACTGGCCATGTTGGCATCTCTCACTGCCCCCACCCCCATGGCACAGGCTCGGAGGATGCAGGTCCGCCAGCTCAGGGTTCTGGGTGTGGGGACAAACTTTCCCATCTCTCCCCAGTCACTGACACACACAAGCACTTCTCGAGGCAAGCATCTGGTGTGGCTGTTCAGATGTCCCGAGGAGGCCCATGTCCCACATCAGAGCACCTGGCAGCCCGGCCACCTCCCGACTCCAGCTTCCTGCTAGCGCCCAGCCTGCGAGCCCATGGCGGCTCAGCTACTTGGGTCCCACATGGAGTTTCTGGCTCTTAGTTCTAGCCTAGCCTGGCCTTGGCTGCTGTGGGCATTTGGGGAAGGAACCAGCAGATCTACGAGCTCTCTCACTTTGCCTCTCCAGTAAAATGAAAACCAACCCGCACCTTCCTGCCTCCGCACCACCTCTCCGGGAGGACGGGTGAGGCAGCAGCACCCATAGGTTCCCCATTGAGGCCGGGTACAGAGGAGCTCCTTGCACTGTGTTCACAGGTGACTGCTGGCTGCTGGCGGCCATTGCCTCCCTGACCCTCAACGAGGAGGTCTTGGCGCGGGTCGTGCCCCTGGACCAGAGCTTCCAGGAGAACTATGCGGGCATTTTCCGCTTCCAGGTACCTGGTCAGGGAGAGACGGGCAGGGGCAGCTCTGTGCAGCCCCCCGGGGCAGCCCAGGTTGTCAGTGGGCTCCTAGGACCAAGGACGCTGAATGGGGGGTTGACCTCCCAGCTGCTCATGATGACAAAGATGATGACAGTGAGGGACCCTGGCGGATGGCCATGGCAGGGGAGGGAAGGAGGAAGGTTATGCCAGGGCTGCCGTGGCTGTCCCTCCAGCCCACCCATGCTACCTCTGCCTTCCCCGTGCCCACAGTTCTGGCAGTATGGCGAATGGGTGGAGGTGGTGGTGGACGACCGGCTCCCCACCAAGGACGGGGAGCTGCTCTTTGTGCACTCGGCAGAGGGGACTGAGTTCTGGAGCGCCCTGCTGGAGAAGGCCTATGCCAAGTGAGTGACCGTGCCCCGCCCCCAGGCCCCCTGCCCTGGACCCAAAACTCCCAGGCCACTTTGGCAACTCGTGGCGGACCCATGCATTGCACTCTGCTGAAGGCCTCTATTGGCCCACGATGGGCTCTCAGTGCAGGAATGGTGTGTGCTGGGTGCCTTAAGCCCCGGGGAATGACAAACACAGGGGAAGGGAGCAGTGCTGTGTGTGCCCAGGAAGCCGCCTGCCTTTTATCAGCAAAAGGCAGCAGGCTCCATGCCTGCAGGGACTTCCCCAGCTGCTCCAGGACAGCCCCTGCTCTCAGCAGGAGGCCACCGGAATGCCCTGCTCTTGGCCCTGCTGCCCTGCATGAAGCACCCTTCCCCCCAGGGAGCACAAGAGACTTCTCAGGGTAGCTGCCTACTGCTGGGTCCCCGTCGGTTTTGCGAGCTCTCAGTGCTGGACAGACCTTAGCCGGCTCTCCCCTTCCTGGCAAGGTGCAGCCAGAGCAGTTGGGCCCTGCTGGGCACCCAGAGCAGCGGAGTGAGGAGGAGGGGAGCATGTCCATTCCCGGCGCTGGGCTGGGCGGGGAAAGCATGGTGCCTGGCATGGGAAGGGGGCGACGGGAACTGCAGCTCTGTGCTGCCCTCCGCCCCCATCGCAGGATCAACGGGTGTTACGAGGCACTCTCAGGGGGTGCCACCACCGAGGGCTTCGAGGACTTCACGGGCGGCATTGCCGAGTGGTACGAGCTGAAGAATGCCCCGCCCAACCTGTTCAAGATCATCCAGAAGGCTCTGCAGAAAGGCTCGCTCCTGGGCTGCTCCATCGACGTAAGAACAGGCCTCGGCCGTGTCCCTGGGGACAGCCAGGCAGTGTGCGGGATAGGGCCATCCAAGGATGCCCTCAGCCCTTTCCTCCCAGCCCACTGCTCATCCACCAGGGATCGCCCCAGGCCCCCCCGCGCTCCCCACCCGCCCGCCAGGGTCCCAGGGCTCGTGGGTCTGTGCATGGAGGCCTGGGAGGCCACCTCAACTGGTGACCGGGCCCCTGGGGGAGACACGGTGCCGACAGATCCCGGTAGAGTTCCCTAGACCATCCTCAGCCCGAAGGGGAGGAGTGGTTCTGAGGGGCTGGTAGGAAGTCCAGGGCATAACCCCTGCGGGGCCATGTACACCCCGTTCCTATGTTCCAGATCACCAGCGCTGCAGACTCGGAGGCCGTGACACGACAGAAACTGGTGAAGGGCCACGCGTACTCCGTCACCGGAGCCGAGGAGGTGAAGCACTGGGGTGTCCCCTGGGTGGGCAGCCTGGTGTCCACCGACCCAGGATGGTGCAGCCAGGGCCCGGTCTTCGAGCTCGGGCGGTGCGTGCTGCCTCCTGGTGGCCGCGGTGGCACACTGCAGGCGCTCGGCCGGTCTTCATCTGGGGAGTGGATAAGCAGAATTAGCATCGCTGGGCTTCTTGGAGACCCTGAGGGCCTTGCCACCTCATCTCACAAGGGCCTTCTTTTGGAGTTCACTTGTCACTCTGCCACTCACCAAGGAGGGCCTGGGATGCTTACCCTAGGCCTGTACCAACCCTGGAATGGAAACAGTAACAGCATCCCTCAGCCACAAGTCCTAAGCAAGCTGTTAGTGTTGTTACTATGGACACTGCCTGGCCAAGTTCACAGTTAAGGAAAAAAAAATTTTTTTTAATCTTGAGAGTCTTAGCAAATTCCCCACAAAACATACACACAGGTGTACTTTTATTTTTGAAAATGTCTTCTACAGAATTGGAATAGGATGAGCATCCAACACAGCCCCTCCAGATTCAGCAACAGAGAACCTGCGCCTCCTGTGCTGTGTCAGAGGGTGCAGAGCTTTCTCCCCAGTGGCCGCTGGAAGCAGGCTGCAGGTGCCCCGATCCTTGCTGCTAAACACTCGAGTAGATGCCCTTGTGAACAGGCCCAGGCCCTTGCTAGTGCCTGCCATTCCCTGTCGGGCCCCATTAGGTCTGTTGTATCACCTGCTGTATACTCCATGCTTAATTTTTTAAAAATTATTGCTTGATTATTGGAAAGGCAGATTTACAGAGAGAGGGAGACGGATCTCCCCCTCCCCCACTAGACCACTCCCCAGATGACCACAACATCCAGAGTTTAGCTGATCCACAGCCAGGAGCCTCTTCCGGGTCTCATGCAGAGTCCCAAGGCTTTGGGCCGTCCTCTGCTGCTTTCCCAGGCCACAGGCAGGGAGCTGGATGGGAAGCGGAGCAGCCAGGACTTAAGTCAGCGCCATATGAGGTGCTGGCACCACAGATACAGGCTAAACTTATTACTACAGCACACACCAGCCCCACACGCTTAGGTTTTCCCACTTGCCTAGAATATTCTTTCTCAGCCCCCAGTGTCTGTTCCCACCCTCATTCCTTCATCAGGAGGGAAAGCTGTTCCAAGCTCCTGGAACAGAAGCTCCTGCAGCCAGCAAGGGGCAGAGGCCACCCCTGCATACCATGTGTGTACTCCTGGGGCGTCCAGCAGTGGTTGGGTCTCCCACCCTATCTTGTAGGGGGGCCCTGGGAACTTTCATTCCCAGGCTCCAAAGCTGGATGGCAGCAGGTGGCCTGGATGGGCGTGGTTAAACCACTGCCGCTCTTACAACGGCCTCTTCTTGGTGGATTTCAGCCCCCTGGCTCCGCTGCAGGGGGCTTTAGGCATGGCTTGTGCTCCAGCCCCGCCTTCTGTCTTTCGTCCCCTCTGACAGGTGGAGAGCGCTGGGAGCCTGGAAAAGCTGATCCGTATCCGCAACCCCTGGGGGGAAGTGGAGTGGACAGGCAGGTGGAATGACAGGTGAGTGGTGCTGGGCCACGGTGGGGCGGGTGTGTGTTTCATGGGGAGAGGCAGGTGCTGTGCTCTGTACTCACAGACACTGGCTCACTTAGGGACCCTGTGGGGCAGGCGGTGGCCCTGCTCAGGGACCCGTGGGGTGGGCATCAGGCCCACTAAGGGACCCATGGGTGGGCAGTGGCCCCACTCAGGGACCCTGTGGGGCAGGTGGTGGCCCTGCTCAGGGACCCGTGGGGCGGGCGTTGGGCCCACTCAGGGACTCATAGGACAGGCATCGGAACCTGCGGGGTTTTCAGGGGTCTGGCCTCCTGCAGGTCCAGGCTCCACGATGCCCATTCTTTTCCCATTCCTTTCTTGGCTCCAGCATGAGTGTCTTCCCTACTGAACTTCCCTGCTAATACTTCTGCTCTGGCATGAACCTTGTGCAGACTAGGAAGCCATGGTTCTCTTTATTTCCAAGCCCCGTGGGGCATCAGTCACCTGTGGGGGACCCTCCTGGCAGCCTCTCATGGCTGCCCACCTATCCGTCCTTCTGCCATTTCCCTGGTCCATGCCCAAGAACCTCTGCCAGGGCAGAGGGACACCTGCCAAGGCTGCCTTCCTGGGAAGCTGCAGAGGCCAAGCCAGGATGCTCCTGGTTGGGGGAGGCCGACCATGCCCATTGGCTTGGGCAGCGGACGCCAGTTGCTCTGATGGGCCATGTTCATTTTCCAGATTCTTCCTGGCCACTGTGTTCGGGAACAACATAGCCCATCCCCCTGCTCCCTTTTTTGTCTGCCCAGTGTCCTGAAATGCTCTGAGAGTATTGAGATGTGGCTCCAAGCCCTGCGTGGGTCACTTGTCCCCTTCCTGGGGCCTGAGCCTGCCCCCTGCCCAGGGGTCCGAGTGCACACTGCTGGAGGCCATCCCTCCATGCTGGGTGTGAATGCCCCTTCTGCCCTCCATTCCCAGCTGCCCGAATTGGAACACCGTGGACCCAGAGGTGAGGGAGAGGCTGGTGGAGCGCCACGAAGATGGGGAGTTCTGGTAAGACCACACAGCCTGCAGGGAAGGATGCCCCAGGGAACGCCAGGGCAGAAGTGAGTGTCATGTTCAGGGCATGGGGTTATGGGGCTTCTGGTTTGGCTCTGGTTTCTAATTCACACTGAGACCCTAGACCTAAGATACCTGGGCACCTCCCAGGGGAGGGGTGTATGTCAGCTGGAACGCACCCCAAGGAGGCTCGGAACCCAGGTGGAGCTTGCTGTCCTGCCCCCAGCCCTTGGTGAGCAGGGACAGGGATCAGGCCCCGCTGTTGCGTGCCTGTGTCCGCCGGAGGGCTCCCTGTGTGTGTGCACACAGCACGCAGCTCAGGGTCCTGCCAGGGCACCCCATGCCCGGCCATTCGGGCTTGCCCCCCTCCTTCCCACCCCTGTCTCAGCTCCCTGTGTGGCCATGGTGGTGGCAGGTCGGTCACAGGTGACCAGCGTGACCCCCTGTAACCCGGGCTGCCTTTGCCAGGATGTCACTCCGCGATTTCCTGACGCACTACTCCCGCCTGGAGATCTGCAACCTGACCCCGGACACCCTCACCAGCGACAGCTACAAGAAGTGGAAACTCACCAAGATGGACGGCAACTGGAGGCGGGGCTCCACCGCGGGCGGCTGCAGGAACTACCCGCGTAAGGGCAGGGCCGAGGGGCGAGGAGGGGCTGCAGCCCGGCTCCCGTCACTGCTGAGCAACCCCACACACACACCATCCTGGTTTATCCCTCCACCCACATGGCCCTCTGCTGGGCCCACTGAGGCAGCACCTGATCCCCTCTCATACCACAAGCTGCTGCTCCCACCAGAATCTGGGCAGCTGAGTCTGTCAGTTGCGGCAGCTGAGGGTGTGCCCGGGGAACCCAAACCATATGCACAGGACGCCCCCAACCTGTTTCATGGAGCGTTGGGGGCTGGCTCGTGGACAGTCCCTTCAGCCAGGCCAGTAGGGCCTGTCCTGGACCTCGCTGTTAGAGTCTGGGATAAAGAACCACCAGGGGGCGCCACAGCCACACTGTCTGAAACAGCTGCCAAGGAGATTCTGGGGCAGGGGGGTGTCCCCACTGAGGACCCCTGGAGATTTGGGCTAGCCGTGGCCGCCCCTGCAGCCCCTTCAGGACCCGGCCCCTCTGCCCCTTCCTGCTGCAGAGACCTTCTGGATGAACCCCCAGTACGTGATCAAGCTGGAGGAAGAGGACGAGGACCAGGACAACGGCGAGCCTGGCTGCACCTTCCTGGTGGGCCTCATGCAGAAGCACCGGCGGCGCCAGAGGAAGATGGGCGAGGACATGCACACCATCGGCTTCGGCATCTACGAGGTGCGGGCACGGGGACAGGACAGCCAGCCACCCCATGCGGGGAGGACACCCCTGGCCCAGCGCGTGGCCAAGGAGGAGCAGAGCCATGGCTTAGGGTCGGTTTGGGCAGATGCTACCCTCTGTCCCCAACCTCCCAGGGCCTTCCTAGCCCATTCTGGACCCCACAGGGACGCCTTCATGAAGCAGGCTTGTGGGGACAGCCCTAGGCAGCATGTAGATCTGCTGGGAACCCAGAAGCATTGGTCTTGGCCAGCAAAGGCTCTCCGCTGCCCACCCAGCTGGCCTGGGCCTCCTCTCCCCACCTCGCACCGGGCCCTTCCCCTGGCCACAGCTGCTCAAGAACTGCTCAAGAACATGAGGACAGCTCTGGTCCCACGTTAGATCTGAGGGCACTGGCACATGGGCAACAGAGCTGCCACAGCTGTCTCCCAGGGGGCAGTGGGGGTGGGTGTGCCCTCTGTCTGTGGTTTCCTCCCTCCAGGCCCTACCCTGCTTTCTCTGGCTGGCAGTGTGGCTGTGGCCCGCTGGCAACATGAGCTGAGATGCTTCCTGTATCATGTCTGGGTTTTGGTTTCATGCGGTACACTTGCTGTGTGGGCTTAGCAGAAGCTGTTGACAGCATGGAGCAGGGGGACTGGCATTCCCAGGATGTGAAGCAAGCACCCTTTCTCTCCTTTGTCCTGCAGGTTCCAGAAGAGGTATGTCTGCTGTGTGTCGGCCTCCACCCAACACGGAAAAGCTGGAGTGGCGCAGAGCTTGGCCGGGGGCTGGGGTCCTGCAAGATGCGTCTTCATGCTCTCCACGGCCCTGGTTTTAGCTCCAGCTGGTCTACACCCAGGGCAGGTGTCCCGGGCAGTCGCTGTGCAGGGCTCCATTGCAGGTGGCTACTCCAGGACTGTGGCCGTCCCTCTGTGTGGCTCTGAGGACCAGCCAGAGCCAGGGCAGAGGTGCACCACCAGAATGCAGAACCAGGACCCAGCCACCCAGGGTGTGCGGCCTCGGATGAGTTAGCCCTCATTCCCATAGTTTGGTTTCCTTTTTTCTCCCCCTGTCATCCACGTGGCTACAGGGGTTCAAGCACGTGGGCGGTCCTCTGTTGCTTTCCCAGGCACGTTAGCAGGGAGCTAGCCAGGAGGTAGAGTAGCCGGGACTCCAACAGGCACCAGTATAAGAAGCTGGCTTCACAGGTAGCTTAACCTGCTGTGCTAACACTTCAGCCCATCAGTTTTCTTAATGTAAAGGGGCAACTGTCTCCCGCACTGGGGACTGTGGAGGTGGGTGAAAATGCCAGGAGGTTGGGATCAGATGCCACACTCAGCAGCTGCCGGCTGCTGCAGCTCACCACACAGGGACAGCTGCAGCTGTCCACAGCACCGTCGGTGACTGGCACCTTCAGGTCACATGGTCTTTGCGTCTGTTCCTGGGTCATCCTGGCTCCTGCCATGTGAGAAGACAGGGTCTCTTACATTCTTTAGAGGGCATCTGTTGGGTTCTGGCAAAGGGTGTGTCTTCTATCTGGAACACTCCACACTTTGTAATCCTTTGACCTCCCTGTGGACTTGCCAGCTCAAGGGGCAGACCAATATTCACCTGGGCAAAAACTTCTTCCTGACCACGCGAGCCACGGAGCGCTCGGACACCTTCATCAACCTCCGCGAGGTGCTCAACCGCTTCAAGCTGCCGCCTGGGGAGTACATCCTGGTGCCTTCCACCTTCGAGCCCAACAAGAACGGCGACTTCTGTGTGCGCATCTTCTCCGAGAAGAAAGCTGACTACCAGTAGGTCATGGGCTGCCAGCCTTCTCCCCACCTGCTCTGCCTGGGGACCCTTCCTGGCAGAGATGGCGCAGTCCTGTTCTGGCCACTGGTCCAGTAGAGCCACCACAGCTGCCCCCCTTGGGGTTTCCCTTCCTCCCTCCCTGAATCCCAGCTCTCTTGGAGCCTTTTCCTGCGCCTAGCAGCTTCCTGCCGCTTTCCACGTGTGGCCTCCACTCATGCTGGCTTCTGTGGCCTCGGCGGCTGTCTTGGGCCCTTGATGGGAGAGGCAGGCTCCACCTTGGGCAAGTAAAGCTGATGGAAAGCACTGGAAGGCCCGAGAGTCACAGCACTGATGGAGGCTGGGACACAGGCCAGGGAGAGCAGGTGCTGCAACCCTGAGGGTGCTGGAGGGCCAGGCTGCAGGATGATTCCTGACTGAGACCACGTGCTCAGGCCCCAAGAGCACACAGCTTGTGTCTGAGGGGCCTTGGGCTCCCGTGGGGGAGGTGGGCACTGGCAGGTGCAGGTAGGAAGCCACAGGGAGGGACAGCCAGTACTGCAGTTGGCTATGAGTGACTAGTTTGCTATGGGTGAGGTGCCTTTCTGCTCAGCGCCTGGGCTCCCAGGAGGAATCCTGATGGCTCCAGCTTCATCCTCACTGACAAGGATATGGGGACATGACTCAGTGTCCTTGGGATGACCCTGCTGCTAACCAAACCCAGTGTTGTCTCCTCCTTTGCCAGCAACAAGCCACTGCCCAGGGAATCCTCAAGCCCATTGGCTCCCCAGGCTGCTAGTCATTCTGCTCCAGGTGCCAAATGCCAGCCCGGGCACCCTCCTTTCCTGGATGCACTGTGCTGCAGCCAGGACTCTGTGTAGCCTTGCATCGGATCCCAGAGACAGACTGGGTTTTGGGCACAGCAGTTAAGACACCAGGATACCAGCATCACATACCAGTCCTGAGATTCAAGTCCTGGCCACCGTGCTTGCTGCTAACGCATACCCTGGTGGCTCAAGTCCTTGGGTCCCTGACACCCACACAGGAGACCTGGAGGGAGTTCCTTGTTGCTGGCTTCAGCCCAGCTGAGCCCAGACTGTTGCAGGCATTTGAAGAGTGAACCGGTAGATAAGAGATTTATTTCCTTCTCAAACTCTCTGCCATTACAAGTACAGAAATGGAAAGATCCCAGAGGCCTAAGCCTAACCCCCATCACCAGGGAGCAGAAGGAGCCGTATGTGGAATAAACCCGCCACTGTGGAGTTGAGGCTGCATGGTGAACAGGCAGTGGTTATGTGTGAGCATCTCAGTGTGGAAGCTTGGCCACGGGCATTTCGAGTGGGACCAAGGGAGCCGAGAGGAGCCCCGAGCACACAGAGCCCTCTGTACCCTGATCATCTCTGCCGGTCGGGCTGAGTCGACACAGACACGCCGCCCACCGTCCCCTCCTGCATTCCCGGTGATGCGTCAATTCCAGCAGTGGTTTGCTTGCCAATAACCCATCGTCTCCTTCCATTTCCAGAGCTGTCGATGACGAGACGGAGGCCGACCTTGAAGAGGTAGGTACCTGTAGACTCCTTGAATGCCGCCCACTCTGCCCTGGAGAAGCAGAAAGCAGAGGGACAAGCGATAACTGCCAGGGCTCGGGGTGCCCCAGGAGCTCCATGCTCACGAGTTGTCAGCGAAGACGCAGTTGTGGGACCAAGGCTGCTTCCCACCTTGGCTCTGGCCCCCGTGCTGGGCCCTGGCCCTGCCTGCCAGCATAGAGTGTGCCCATGTGCACAAAGGTGTGGAGGAGCCTGGGATGTGGCTATTGTGCCCAGCAGTGCCAGCTCCCTGGCACTGCTCCCTCATTGTTCTTGTCTTCACAATAGACATGCAAGATGGCACAGTTTCTGAGAAGGCGATTCAGTGGTAAAACCCTAAAGGGCAGTTAGGGATAGAAGCCAGGAATTTGCAAATAGGCCCAATCTTCACAAATCTGGAGTTGTTGAGGCAGGGAAGCACCAAAGACGAGAAGGAATTCTGTCTGCAGGGCCCCGAGGGGGCTCCTCGATCAGCTAGGCAGATGATGGAGCCCCAAGGGAGAGCCTGCTTGGCTTCCAGCAGCCTCATGGACCGTGATCACTGGTTGCTGTCAGAATCCTTCCAGAACATTCCAGTTATCCTCATCAGACTAGATCATAAGTGGCACTTTGGGTTGAATGCCGAAGCTCACTGTATGAGAAATTACCGTGTATTCGTTCTCACAGAGTTTACACACATTCTCTCTCCTGGATCTGACCCTTTTCTTCATATTGTCCAGAAATGATCTTGGTAGTGAAGGAGAGCGCCCTGAGGGAGGGAACAGCCTCCTCGGGCCCTGTCACTCACTCGTGGGCCTTGCTTGCAGATCTCCGTCAGCGACGACGACATTGATGATGGATTCCGGAGGCTGTTTGCCCAGCTGGCAGGGGAGGTGGGTACCGGGAATGCTCTTGTGCCTGGGATGGATGTAAAGGAAACAGCAGGTGGGTCTCGGGGTGCAGCAGGAAACCCACATCTCACATCAGAGTGCCTGGTTCAGGTCCTGGCTACTCCACTTCCTGCTCAGGTGAACCCTGGGGGGCAGCAGATGGTGGCTCAAGGACTTGGGTCCCTGCCACCCACATAGGAGACCCAAATGAAGTACGCCGGTCCCTGGCCTGGGCCAGTCCTGGCTAGTGCAGGTCTTTGGGGGCTGAATAGGAGATGGGAGATTTTTGTCTCCCTCTGCTTTTCAAAGACTCAATTTGTTAATTACCCTTTTAATGTAAGCAAGGCCGACCTTGGGTACATGCTGCATGCATGCTGCCTTGGGCCTTGGCCAGCTACATGGGACCCTGGCCAGCTGCATGGGTCCTGATGGCACTCCGTCTATCTCCTGCCCACAGGATGCCGAGATCTCAGCCTTCGAGCTACAGAGTATCCTAAGACGAGTCCTAGCGAAGAGTAAGTGTCCCCTCATGGCTGGTCCCTCATCATGCTCTTCCTCTGTGGACGCTGGGGCAGCTGGGAGCCCTTCCCAGGTGTAGCCAAACCAGCAATCCCTGTTTCTGTGCAAATAATCTGCCTGCCATCCCAGTTCTCAGAGTCTAGGCACTAAGACTCATTTGAACTTCTCTGTTTCCTGATCTGTAAAATAGGCACATTACTCCTTATCCCTCTGAGCATCTCAGAGTAGGCAAGGTGGCAGAGGGCCCACAGCGCCCTCCAAGGCAGTTGAAACTGCCAGGAAAACCAGAGTCAGCCCAGATAACGGGAGCCAAGGCACTGTCCTGAGTCCTAAATTCTCTGGTCTGGTGGGGAACCATGGATACAGAGGGGACCCCAAAATGGAAAATAAGCACCTGCTAAGCAAACTAAGGGGATGAGACAACTGTCTCTCCTCCAAATCTTGAATTTAAATGAACCATTTACTAGCCAGAAAATGTCACTTCACTGGGGCCACTCGGCCCAGCAGGTTGAGCCCCAGGTTCCAGCACCATTGCTGCATCTCCGGTGGGAGGGTCTGCATGAAGGACCGAGGCCCAGGAAGGGAGAGGATGGAGAGCGAGAGCCATGCTCCTCACACTCCCTCTCAGCCTGGAGCTATTGCTTAGCAAAGCACAGAGAAGCATCGTTCAGCTCTCCCTTCCACCATCACTGATCCTGCTGGGGAGGAGAGAGGCATACCTGCTACCCCCTCTGCCCCTCAGATCATCACAAGAGCCCAGCAGCATCAGTACAGATCAGGAACATACATGTCATGTCCTGGCGTGATCCTATGGACACCACCAGGGTCCATGACAGGAGCTGGCCTCTGGTCTAACCCCAGAAGACAACAGTAACTCCTCTGCCCAGGGCCTACAGGGAGCCTGGGCCAGCCAGCTGTCCCACACCCAGGCAAGGGAACCAACCAGAAGCACCTCAGAGACCAAGCCTAACTGGTTGCTCATTGGTGGCCACTGAGCGGATGGATGGCTGCAATGATGACGTTCTCAGCCAGAAGTGGGGATGGCCTGAGCACAGCTGGCCCCGTGAGGGCCTTCCCCAAGGCTGGCCCGGATCTGCACCCTCCCCGTCATCGCAGGAGCAGCTGGTGATGGCCCGTGAGGCTGCCAGGCACCAGTGAGGTCACAGGGCCCTCAGCTGCATGGCTGGCAGGAGCCCAAGGAGACTGTGGCCTCGTTGTCTGCATGCAGATGGAGGCTGGGGGTGGGGCGGAGGCATCGGGCCACACTGGATTCAGCTGTGTTGGTGTCACCCAAGCCTCTGTGCTCAAGGCCAGCCCCCCTTGCCATCCCCATTCTGCTGCTGCCTGGCACTGACTCAAGCCTCATGCCCGCACCCTGGAAGGCGCTGGTGCCCAAAGGAGCAGCTTTCAGGCAAGCTGGTTTCATCACGGACGAGACAGAAAAGGTCGCTGCTCGGGAAGGGTCATGTTTGTGACAGGGGTGTCTTGTCCGCCATGAGACAGGTCTCACCTCGGGGAACTCAGGAGCTTCCATGCCTGGGTTCCTCAGCCACATGGCTGCAGGTGGCCAGTTCTGACTTCCCTCTTCCTGTGACAGGGTTAGTGTCATACCTGCCCAACAACCACAGATGTCTTCACACCCTGTGGGCACTCAGGCCAGTCACTGAACGTCCTTTTATGTATGCATTTCACAGGCACTTATTGAAACCCTGGTGTGCCTGTGGCAGGTCTACAGAGCAGTGAGGCCAGCGTAACCACACACCCTCCGCAGGGCCCGGCCCGGGAGCCGCTGGCCCCATGAGGTGGCCCTGTTGCACGGTGCGTAGGAAGCACCGCTCCAGAGGGCATCCTGGTCACAGACTTCTGTCTTTCAGGACAAGATATCAAGACAGACGGCTTCAGCATTGAGACATGCAAAATCATGGTGGACATGCTGGATGTATCCTTCATCCTCGGCCCTCTGCTCCCTCTGGTGGATCTTGCACAGCTGCTGTAGGACTGTCGTCCATACCGCCTGGCCAGGGGAGACGAGACGAAAGCCTCCCCCAGCCATGTCCCCAGGCTGAGCAGCAAAGTCCTGCCATACAACCCTTTCTGTCTCCAGTAGCAGGAGCCTGGAACTCAATCTGGGTCTCGCTTGTGAATAGCAGGAACCCAACTACTCATGCCCTTACGTGCTGCCTCCCAGGGTACGCATTAGCAGGAAGCTGGGACGCGCACCCAGGCACGCGGATGTGGGATGAGGACATGAGGTGGCAGCCACTGCTGTGCCACAGCTCTGACCCTCCTGAATGCCAGTATTTCTGTTTTCTCTGGTCAAGATTTTGTTTAGGAAAATCCTCCCCTCTTGCCATGGGACTCTTTCCCAGGCCACTCACCTGTCCCTAAGCCAAGCCAATACTGTCCGCTTCCCCGGGTTTCCGGTGCTCAGTGAGAAGCAGTGGTGGGCATGTTCTGGGCTCCTGCGCATTGCCCTCAGGGAGCTATCAGCACACACCCTAAGATGCAGCTCCCTCCCCAAAGGACTCTTGGGAACATTCCAAGTAACTCAGAAACCATCAGGGCATGAAGCGAGACGGCATCAGGAGGCCTGCGTATTACTTGATGGCTCATTGTTAGCAACAGCCTGTGTGTTGGCAGTAGCTGCCAGTTGTACAGGGTTGGCTGTGCCTGCACAGCACCTCCTCGTGGGTGTGCTGGGACACCCCCTAGACCTGGGCGGGAGGATGGGCCAGGCAACCTCCTCCTCTAGGTGGACCTGGGGGCTCCCAGAGCTTTCCTTGATTCGGGGCAGTCGGATGGGAGCGGCAAGCTGGGACTCAAGGAGTTCTACGTTCTCTGGACGAAGATTCAGAAATACCAGGTAGGCCGGTGGGAGGGCACGGTGGGACGTTGGAACGCCTCTCTAATGCAGCACAGGAGTTACAACAGGTCAAGGGAATCAACAAAGTGGGCCTTCAAATGGTCACCTACAAGCCACCATTCGGGGTTCCTGAAAAGGCTGTGGGACCTCTCGCGGTTCACATTTGTGAAGCTCAAGCATAGCAATTATGTAAGACATTCTCACAGGTCCCAGGCTGCTGGCCAGCACACACCGGCACACCAGCAGCTGTTTAAGGCTGGGGTGCAGGAGATGCTCCCAGGTCTGCAGGCAGGACCCTGGAAAACTTCCTGCCCGCCAGCACACGCCACAGAGCTCAGTCCCCTGCCACCGGTTTTTACTTTGGTTCACTCTTCTTCCAACTGCTTCTCATGTTCCAGAAAATTTACCGGGAAATCGACGTCGACAGGTCTGGCACGATGAATTCCTATGAGATGCGGAAAGCTCTAGAAGCAGCAGGTAACCCTGCATAACTGTTCTCCCTGTGGAGCTCATGAGCACTAGCACATGACAGGCACAAGTCGGGGAGCTGCAAAGCAGATGCTGCTTGGATGCAAACAAATCCTTTCAAAGACTAATGGGCACAATTAAATGCAGCCTCTGGCACCTCTGCTTCCCTCCATCCCAGTTGCCTTTGTCGCAGCCTGTCAAGGCAGCTGGGCGATGCCAGTTCCCCACAGACTTCCCCCAGCAGAGGGGATCAGGCACAGATGGTGTCTCAGCTCAATCCTGGGTAAGCCCTGGCAGAATTAGCAACAAAAGGACACAAGTTTGGAGTTAGACCAGCAGAGCAAAAGACTGCTGTGTTTTCATTCTTCAGATTTGTTTATTTAGGGGCCATGCCATGGTATAGTATGGTTAAGCCTCTTCCTGCATTGCTGGCATCCCGTATGGCTGCCAGTTCAAGTCCCACTGCTCCACTTCTGATCCAGCTCCCTGCGAATGGCCTGGGAAAGCAGCAGAAGATGGCCCAAAGGCCTCTGCACCCATGTGGGAGACCCAGAAGTTCTGCACTCCTGATTCCAGACCAGCCCAACTCCAGCTGTTGCAGCTATCTGGGAATGAACCTGCTGATGGAAGACACCTTGATACCCCTCTCTCCTTCTAAAATTTTTCAAATAAAAGTGAATCTTTTAAAAAGATTTATTTATTTGATAAGCAAGGCATTAGAGGAAGAGGAAAAGAGAAGAATCATCCATCTGCTGATGCACTCCCCTCGAGAATAGGGACAGGCTGAAGCCAGGAACCAGTGTATCCATCAGGTCTCCCACGAGTGGCAGCAGTGCAGCTCACAGGGCATCATATGCTGCCTTCCCAGGAAGTTAGATCAGAAGTGGAGCAGAATTTGAACGAGCAGTCTGATATGGCATGCCAGTCACCAGCTGCAGCTTAACCCACTGCACCACACTGCCAGCCCCTGTTACTTTTAAAACTTGTATTTATTTTAATTTCATTTGAAAGACAGGGAAACAGAGATTTCTCATTTGCTGGCTTATTTCCAAATGCCCTCAGCAGCCAAGGCTAGGCCAAGCTGAGACCAAGAACCTGGGACCACTTCTGGGTCTCCCATGTGAGTGGCAGGGACCCAGCTACTTGCAGTTAACAGCTGCCTCCCAGAGTGGGCATTAGCAGGAAACAGAAATGAGGAGTGGAACCAGGACTTCAAGTGCACCCATAAGGGCTGCAGACACCTGAGTGAAAACTTAACCTCGGGGCCAAATGCCAGGCCCCTCACTGGGATATGACGTCACAGCAAGGATCCCCAACAACCATGGAGTAAACAAAACACGTTTCTCTCACCTTGAACAAGAACTCAAGTTCAAGCAATCCAAGGTGCGACAGGCCTCCCAGACTCCTGGGGTGCTGCTCTCACCTGTGTGCGGTTCAGGCAGCCTGGCGGCCAAGGCTGCTTACCTGGAAGGACACACATGTCCCTCCCACTCACCAGCCAGCCCACTGACCTAACTGGGCACCGCTTCATATGGCTGCAAGGCAGGGCTGCGTGCCCCGCAGCCGCAGGCCTGCTTCTAAGTACTGCGCTGCAGACAGAGGGGACCTTGCACCAGCTTACCGTGCAGTCTGCACACGTACTCAGAACAGCCAGGATTTGAGAAGCATGGTCATAGCATGAAGTAGGGTGACAGTGAGCCATGGGGAAATGCAGGAACAGCAGGAGCTAGCTCTGCAGAATCAGAGCAGTCTCGCTGAGCGCCACCCGGGGACCTTGAGACGGGGCGGGGGGGCGGGGATCAGGAGGTCGGTTCTGTCGGAGCCCAGCTGCTGCCTGGCTCCCCAGCCACCAGCTTGTCATTCCCCTCCAGGCTTCAAGCTGCCCTGCCAACTCCATGAGGTCATCGTCGCTCGCTTTGCCGACGACCAGCTCATCATCGACTTCGACAACTTTGTCCGGTGTCTGGTGCGACTGGAAACACTCTTCAGTAAGTGGCTGTTGGGGGAAAGACACGTCCCAACGCTCGGGGAAGTAAAGCCTGAGCAACATGACCTGAGCCAGGGATGCGATTCCCTCTTGATTAACTTGGGGAAGAAGGGAAGAAGTGACAGCTGGCAGCAGCACCCAGAGGGGTGAGAGCCCTCCCTTCGGGGGCACTCACTGTTGTCTCCTGCTCCCTCCACAGAGATATTTAAGCAGCTGGACCCCGACAACACCGGCATGATACAGCTCGACCTCATCTCTGTAAGCCAATGGGACTCGGAGGAAGTGGGGGGGGGGGGGAAGGCTCTGCCTTGAATGCTTTTTGAAGTTCTCTTGAAAAACCTTTTAGTCTGTTGGACTGAAGCCTGCAGTGAGCTGCGAAGTCCCCCAGTGCCCTTGCTTCCCAGCCATCTGCAGAGCAGGCAGCATCATGCAGGGCACGAGGCAGAGGGAAGCTGCAGGACGATGCTTAGGAAGTGCAACTTAGCACAGAGACCCAGGGTGGTAGTATTCAAGTTCAGTGTTAAGATCTGTCACTCTTAGGACAGTCTACCTAAAATACCTTCTGAGCAAATTAGCTCTCTCCATCTCCCTATTTAAAATAAAACTAACAATAGTAAACAAGTTTCACACGCACACAAAAGCAAGCACACAATGTTCTCTAGCCATCCTAACAACATTGAGTCCTCATCTCAGAGAAGGAAGCCAAGTGGGACAGCCTCCCATCACCACTGGCTGGTGCTGCAGGGCCCCAGGGGATGCTGCAAGGCCAGGGTGGGGTGGGGACAGCCCAGATGCCAGGCCTGTCCCCAGGTAATGGCACAAGGTGGCAAGGTCTAAAGACCTGGCAACTCCTTTTGAAATCTGAATTCTGGAGGAAATCAGCAAAGTTTCCTTGGCCAACTGAAAATAGTTTGGCTGGCTGTAACATAGTCCTCCTCAAACCCATATGGGGCCCAGGCCACATTCCTACCTGAGACAGCAGTCCAGACGTCATTCAACGTGAGATAGAACCCACTGCGTGACGAGCCCTGGAAACTCCGTCCTCTACCCTACCTGGTGGATACCGTGCTCCACCACAGAGTCCCTCTCACTGGCCTGCTCAGCTTCCGGGTACTCTGTCCCAATCCTGAGCCTCAGTTCCCAGACACTAGAACCCCACGTCCACAAGCTGTCCCCTCAGGCTGCAGTGGTTTGCACAGCGGTAGGTCATGCCACCTGGGAGCTGTGACAGAGTCCTGGTACCGAGGGTGCATCTCACACCAACCTCATCAGAACTTGCTTTCAAGGTCCCCTCAGGCTCCAGTGTAGATCCAAGGTTGAACATCATCCATTTCAGAGACATCCACAACCCACACTAACTTGTATTAAAAAAAAAAAAAAAAGATTCAAGGGACTGACATTATGTGTGTCCACCTGCAGCCCCACCATCCCACATGGGCACAGCTGCTCCATTTCTGACCCTTGCCATTGGTTTGGGAAAGCAGCAGAGGATGGCTCAAGTCCTTGGGTCCTGGTATCTACATGGGAGACCCAGAAGCTCCTGGCTCCTGGCTTTGCAATGGCCTAGCTCACTATGACTGCTGTGGCCATTCAGGGCATCCAACAGTGGATAGAAGATCTCTGTCTCCCCTTCTCAATCAGTAATTCTCTGCCTTTCAAATAAACCTTTAAAAAGTTGAAAGGTAGAATGAGAGCACAGGAAAGTAGTGGAGAGATCTTTCATTTGTTGGTTTACTCCCCATATGACTGTAATGGCTAGGGCTGGGCCAGGCCAAAGCCAGGAGCCTGAACACCACCCAGGTCTCCCATGTAGGCGGGTCATCATCCACTGCCTTCCCAGGTACATTAGCAGGGAACTGGACCAGAAGTGGAGCAGCCAGGATTCGAACTGGCACTGCAGTAAGGACTGCTGACATGGGGAGCATTAACAGCCACTGTATCACAGAACCTGCTCCAAATTAAGTTCTAAATGCACCCTGGAGCAGAGGCAGGAAAACACTCCTTAATATGTTGCAACATTAGGGAGACCACTGTACAGCCCTGGAGCAGCCAGCGCCCTGGGGCTGCAATGACAAGCCTGCCCGAGCATGCCCTGGAGCTCACACCCCTGGAGCTCACACCCCTGGAGCTCACACCGCCTTGACTTTGGCAAGTGGTCCCAGTGCTGACTTGGTTTTTTACCTCCCTCACAGTGGCTGTGTTTCTCAGTACTTTGAAGTTACAAGGACTCTGCCTGAGGATGTCTCATTGACAAGAAAAGCAGCCAAGAAGTTCCACGAAGGAACACCTTGTCTCTGGACCTTCAAGTTTGGAAACATTTACTGAAGCCAATGAGTATAGCTGAACACGCTATTACTTGAGATAGCCCAACTTTTACGTATCAAAGATTTGCATATCATTATACTAAATGCAAGTGGGCTACTTAATCCTTGATAAACTCAGAGAAACAGTGCTCACTTTTTACCTTTAAAAACTTTCCTACTGATAGCAATATTAAGCCAGAAAAAACAAAAATGCAGGAAAGTATCCAACAACAGAGCAATGAAGTCCGTCTCAAAGGACGTGAGGGAGGCCCTTGCTGGGACAGTTCAGGTAACTTGAAATTTAAACATGCAACAGCATTTGCCAGACAGCAGCCCCACCTTGCAGTTCCCCACATCAGGACACCCCCTGGTCATGGATTCTGGAGCTCCTATGGGAAAGTAGGGCTCTGACGTGTGACTTAAACAAGGGAGGACCTGAACATGCCGCTGATGGGGAACTGTGAACCGCTCTCATACCCCAGCACCTCTGGCCTTCCTGACACACTTTGTCTTACACGGCCCGACACAGTCCTACTCCTGACCAGCTGAAGCTGCACAGCAGAACCACGTGTCCACTTTGCAGGCTGGCTCCCATGAAGGGCTCAACAAGTCCCTGGCTGCCTCAAAACCATGACCATGTGTCTCTGCATAGGGGATACCGCTTAGGGGTCAGTCCTCCTGGAAATGACACAAGCTTGTTTCCTGGCTTGACCTTGGGAAGCTGCTAGCAATGTAATAGGCACACCGCCCTGTTGCCTTATCTTCTTCCAAACATACCATTGAATAAAGTCGCCTGGACAACCTTAACACTTGGCTGTGTTTTCCTTCCCCGAGGGTAGGGTGAACTGTGGGATGACTTATGGTTGCATCATTCTAGGGTTCCTTATTTTGAGAGGAAATGGCATCTTACCGAGATTACTACCAGGAACTCTGAAGGTTTCTGATAATGTGGCCGCAGTCCTAGCCTCTGCCTCTCACTGCTCTCTGAGGGAGGCGCAGAGAGCTCCCTGCAGCAACTGTCCCTCCATTGCACCGTGGGCTGCTCCTGCAGGCATGGACAGCAGGGGGACGTGCAGGGCCCATCACTGCTCTGCTGCTGGTGGCCTGAGAGGAATCCTAAATGATGGGAAAGAGGGAAGATGATGTGGTGGGCAGGTGCCACCTGCTGTTCCCTGAAAACAAGATGTATATCCCAGACGCAACTCAGGGGAGTCAGGCTCTGGTTTGCTGTGTGTTTCTGTTTAATCGCCAGGTTGCAGATAGCTGTTGGAATGGACTGAGGGTGGCTGAAAGACCAGGGGACAAGGGAATTACAGGTGGTGACAAAAATGCTTAAAACCAGGTACCAAGTGGTCCAAGGTGAGGGGAGATGGGAACAAGGGCTGGAAATGTCTGCAGAAACCAGCCACAGAGCCACAGAGCAGGTTGGAAGGCAGGCCCTTCCCAAGGGCAGAGGCAGGGTGGGCGGCTAGGTGCAACACCCTGCCAGCTGCACACTGGAGAGCTGCCCTAGATTTTGCCTTCATTTTAAACACCTCCCTTAGCTGCAATGTGAGATAACAAAAAAAGCAAGAAGGCGCAGGCAGCCTCCGGGTTTGGGGGTGCTAGACCATCAAGCAAGTCATCCCAGGCACAAAATCAGCAGGTAAGAACCTGCACTGAACATGGGCAGGCCCTCTGTATTCCCTAAAAGACACAGCGTGACAACTGCTTTCCAGGGATAAGTCCTCCAGAGATGAGCCAACAGGTACAGGAGAAAGTGTCCAGGTTCTATACAAATATGTTCCATTTTATGTAAGCGACCCACGTACCCGCAGATACCCGAAGGAGCCACGAAGCCAAGGTCCAGAGGACACTGAGGATAATCGTAAATGTGAACACAACCAGCAGCTGCTCTCCAGAACACATCTGTCAGTACCGCTTTCTAGGGAAGCACAGCAGGAAACGCTACCAACAATGCCAGCATCCCAAATGGGTGCTGATTCAGGCTGCTCCACTTCTGGTCCAGTTCTCTGCCTGGGAAAGCAGCCGAGGATGTGTCTCTGGTGTTTGGAACCTCAAAGAAGTTCCTGGCTTCAGCCTGGCCCAGCCCTGGTTACAGTGACCACTTAGGGACTAAATACATCAGCAAATGAGAAATGCTCTCTTCCTTTCTATATGTAATCCGCTCAAATAAACAAATAAATAAGTAAAACAAAGTTTCCTGCCCCAGCCTCAGCTGCCTCCTTGCCGACCCTGCTGTGCGCTGCAGTCCTATCAGCCCGGCACTCCTCTGCCCCTTCTGTGTCTCTGCACAGCTCTTGTCCTCATGCTCACTGCCCTCCTTCCTGCAGGGCAGAGCATCCTGGGCAGCTGTCCTCTTCAAGCTCCATTCTGTGGCCTCTTGGTGATCCCAGGTGGCCCTTGGCCTACCGTGCCCTCAGCCACAGGTCACCCAGGACCTAACGCCAAACCCTACCAACGCTCAGCAGCCCTGGTCTCCTTGGGCCTACCTGCTGCTTTGAATACTTCTCCCCATCCCTAACAATCCGCATCCCTGCTCCTCCTGCTGCCCAGGAGAAGACTATAAAGAGAGAGGTGCAGGGCCTGTACAATGGCTCAATTGGCTAAACCCTTACCTCGCAAGCACTGGAAATCCATACAGGTGACGATTTGTGTCCTGGCTGTTCCACTTCCCATCCAGCTCCCTGCTTGCGACCTGGGAAAGCAGCAGAGGATGGCTCAAAGCCTTGAAATCCCCTACCCACGTAGAGACCTGGAAGAGGCTCCTGGCTCCTAGATTTGAACCAGCTCAACTCAGGCTGTTGCAGCCACTTGGGGAGTGACCCGGTGTGTGGAAGATCTTTGTCTCTCCTTCTCTTTGTAAATCTGACTTTCCAATAAGAAAAATTAATCTTAAAAAAAGGTCCATGTGTTAACAGTGTCTCAGTACTCCTCCTCCTCCTCCCCCAAAGCCTTTCTCTGTACTTTGTAATATTCCTTAAAGGATAGTTTGACAGTAAGACAAAAATTAAGGAAACCATGGCATTCTAAGTTTAGAGTTAAGGAACATAAAACATAGTATCACTTGCCTCACTTTCCCATCTCCTCTTATCATGCATGTGTATAATTCATTAACTTACCAAGCATCCTCACACATAGCCCATGGGATGGTTTTCCTCATGACCCTGAAGTTCGCAGAGGCAATGACATCAAACTGCATGGCTCAAAGTAGAAAAACCTGGCTTAGAGCAGCTAAGGGTCACAGTCAAAGACACATGACGAGTAAGCAACACAGCTCAAAACTAGCACCTGCACGGGATCCCTTCATGTCGTGACTGCAGCAAACACCAATTAAGAGGCTTGAAACAACACCCATGCTCTCCTGACCCTGGGAATTGGAACCCCCCCATAGCCCAGGCCTAATGTTAGGCGGGCAGAGCTCACTGCCCTGTGGGGCTGGGCCTCACTGGCTGCTTCCTTGCTGGCCTCCACTCTCCCTTGATCTTCAGAGCCAGCAATGGTGTGTGGAGTCCCTTCCATCCAAGTCTGGCTGACCTCAACAGGGCTCACATGGTGACCTGGGCCCACGGGGATAATCCAGGCGAATCTCATTGCCCTGGTTTAAGGTGAGTGGATAAGTGGATCGGATTAGCTGATCTGAAAAGCCCCTTATAGTAGCACCTCGGTCAGTGCTGGGACTGACAACCCTGGCTACAGGACACTGAGCAGGCAGCTGGGGAGATGCAGCCAGGGACCTGTTGAGAGCTGTGCCTATCACATGACTGCTGGCGCCTTGTTCATGTTACAGCTCCCTCTCCACTCCTCTCAAAGGCCTAGTATGTTCTCTTTGCTACCATTCAGCTACTCACAAAATACATTAAGAAGTAATCTTGCATGGTTATTCATTTGTATCTTCCATTTTCTAAAAAAAGTTCTGTGGAGAGTGCAGTGGCACGGCTGGTTAAGCCAGCACATGCAGCCCATATAAGCACAGGTTCTCAGTCTAGCTGCTTCACTTCCGATCCAGCTCCCAACTAATCCTCCTGGGAAGGCAGTGGAGGATGGGCCGAGTGCCCAGGCCCCTGTATCCACAGTCAAGACCCGGAAGAAGTCCTGGCTTCTGGCTTTGGCCTGGCCTACCCCTGCAGCCATTGTGGCTATTTGGGGAGTGAATCAGCAGATGGAAGAGCTTTCTCTTTCTGTAACTCTACCTTTCAAACAGATAAAAACAAGTCTTTTAAAAAATAAGTAAGAAATACATTCCAAAATAAGCCACAAACTCGGTAACACACTAACAGAGTAGCAGACACAAGTCTACAGAAGTTTTCGCTGCGTAAATCAAGACATGTAATTCTATGAGGAAACAAAATGAGGCCACTCGCAGTCTACCGAAAGTTCCAGATAAAGTACCAAGAGTTGTCTATCACCATGGCCTCTAAAATCTCAAAAACAAACCAAAAAACCCTTACTTCTATTCAAAGATCACCAGCACTCATGAACTGCAAATTGTAGCATTTTTAGTAAGCAAAGAAGCACTTCCCACATTCAGTTCCATGAAAAATCTTATTGTAACACACATACCTGCACCAAGCAGATGTTCCTCAGCTGGGAAGATGTCTCAATAGCTGTGACCTTCAAACAAGGCTGCTTATGGCAGGAAAAACACAGGCCAGCGGACAGCTCTGAGTCAAAAAAGTTTATTACAATTGTTTTTCAACTCATCTATGACCTTGACAAATAGTATGGGTAAGCCTACAGCAAGTCTCTAATTTCCAAGATACAAAACAAAAAAAAAAAAAAAACAATAAATACAGATTTGAATTCAGCGTAAAACAAAACTAAATCTAATTTAGATTAGGTAGTGTAGCTTAGTTCCAGTATTCCAAATACATGTTTCATTACCAAAACGCTACAAGAATTCATATATAAAGTTATTGCTCACTGACAAGCTGCAGTTCCGCAGTGCACCTGTGGAGGGCACCTCAAAGCCCGTGGGGCAGTTCCTGGAGGGGTTGCTAATGGTGCCACCATGGCACCACTACTTTCTGGCAAGAGCTGGGACAGGGATGGGTGCTGACAACACCCACGGAAGGGTCCTATTTCTTGCAGAGAACAGGAACCCCACGGTGCGCCTGAGCACTCAACAGAGAGGCTCAGCTCACCAGTCCTTCATAGGGATGTGCTCCACGTGTCGCCAAGTCCTCAATCCTTCATCTTCCTCCAGAACGCACGCTTCACTGCTTCACGCTACGTTGTCATCTATGTAAGTCTCACAAAATCTTCACCGAAAACAATCTTACTACTTCTTAGTGACAACAAACAACTCTTCATTACATAAAACGTGGCAGTTTCAGGCCAGGCTTCTTTGTCTTGGTTTAATTCTGGGGTACAGCTGCAAGAGAGAGTTGAGAAGATTTACATCTTGTGCAGATGTGTGGGAGCATAACACAATTTCAAAAAGAGGGGATGTGTCACAGGAAGGAAAAAAAAGTTTAAAAAATATACCCTTTCTGTCCACATGTACGAAGACACACTCGGCAATGTTCCTATCAGTGACTCACACAGGGCTTCCCCCTGGCCTGTGACAAGCCACACAACGGTGACAGAAAAACTCATCACGACCACTCTAGGGTAAATTCAATGTGTGCAGCTTGTTACGCCATAAATCAGGTCCAGGCAGGGAAACGAACTGCAGTACATTGCAGGATACCTCACAAAGTTCCTCGGAAAACTCTGAACAAATTCCAAACATGGCGGCACAAAAAGGAACTCATCTGTAACTCCATTTTCAAAGAACTTTTTGACGTACGCTCCAGCACCTGAGGTTTCCATGACTAGCTAAGAAGAAAAACATAAGACCCAAGTGCCTCAGCTTTATTCATGATGCACAGGGAATTGAGACTGGCAGGGACAAAATGCCAGACAACAAGTCTACAGATTAAACGGAGGATAGGCAATCGTGACTTCAGGGTTTTGTGGTTTTGTGTTTTCCCTAACAAGAGCAAGAGAGGGGAGTGCAGGCTAAGGTCTACAGTCCGAAGTCAGGGGCAAATGAGACCAGTAATTCAATCCTCAGACCAAACAAAAGCCCTCCTCCCGGCGCACAGAAGGAAAACAAGAGCTCACTCAAAGACAGCCAGACTTCCAGGCGCAGGGCAGACACCAAGAGCTGACTGTCCCACCTGACAGAAAACATGGCCACTTCAGCTGTTCACTCCCCAAAGAGGTGCAACATTGATGCACCTGCTCTGTTGTGCAACATTAGACAGGAAACATTGAGCTGACCAACCAGGCACTCCAGCCCCAGCTGCCAGCAGGCCCCTGCGTTGGCCCTGCCGCTTCCTTGCCAGGGCAAACCCGCTGAAGGGAGATGAAGCTAATCACGAGGTCCACAGCCTTAGGATTTTTAAAAACTGCTAAGAAAATTGATTTTAAGTGTTCTCACCACAAAAAAACAACAGCTACACAAGGTGACAGAGGTAATGAGTTGACGCAGCCACTCTGCACCACATCGTGTTTCATAGCATCCTGTCACATGCCACAGATACAGTTGCTGAGTTGTAAAGGAAAAAAAAAAAAATCACCCCAAGTCAGACCCAGCTGTAGGAAGCCCTCGCTTCCCACTGCACTCATTAGACATGGGGAGTGGTACGCCCCGGCTCGGAGGATATAGAAAACAAACAGGCTATGACAAGCAGACCCCCTTTGCTTTCCTCTGGTTATGTTTTTAAAGGCTCCTTTGAGGGGCCAGTGCTGTGGTACAGCACATCAAATCACTGCTTCGAATAACATCAGCCTCCCACATGGACACCAGCTGAAATCCCAGCTGCTCCACTTCCCATCCAGCTCCCTGCTAATGTGCCCTGGGATGCAGTGCAGGATGGCTCAGTTCCGTGCATCCCTGTGGGAGACCCAAAAAGAAGTTCCAGGATCCTGGCTCCTGTTTCTGGTTCAGCTCAGCTCCACCCATTATGGCCATCTGGGGAGTGAATCAGAAGATGGAAGATCTCTGTCTGACTTTCTCTGTTTGTAAATTTCAAATAAATAAACCCTATTTTAAAAGGTTATTCCTTTTAGCTTTTCCCCACTCTGATTTCCACTGTTACCATTTTACAACACTAACAACTCCTCCAGGAAGTGGCTCACTGAATTCATCCCAAATTTGTTTCACAATAAACTGTGCTATGAGTAAGGCAGCTGCATGTCAGACAAGCATCAGGCAGGGGTGGGGAGTGAGGAGCACTGTCAGGCCCAGGGCTAAGGGCTGGGCTCTGCACTGGAGTCACTGCCAGGAAGCCAGGACCAGCAGAGCAAGGCCCACACAGTGCCACACAGCAGAATCTGGTCCTGCACCCCCAGGCACCAGAGCATGAGCCCGGGGTAGGGAATGACCACATCTGTGTACCCCTAAAAGACCCAGCCTGCCCACCGCTGCCCTGCCCCACAGCCGGGCGCCGACCCCACAGCAAGCCAAGGGGGCAGGGCACTTGTTGTTTTCCCAGGCACAACTGCAGGGAGCTGGAGCGGAAGTGAGCAGCCAGCACTTCAATATATGCAAAGATACAGGATTCTGGTGTTGCAAGCGGCAGTTCAATCAATCGTGCCACAAGACCAGCCTCAGATGTCATCTTTAATGCCCTGCTTCAAGCTCTTCCAGATTTGCAAATCCTAATTTAGACAGATTTAAAAGTTACAAGCTCTGTACAGTGTTACAGTGTAATTGGATAATTACAGCCACTGCCTGTAACACCAGCATCCATGTGGGCTCTGGTTTGGGTCTTGGTTGCTCTACCTCCAATCCAGCAACCTGCTAATGTACCTGGGAACACAGGAGAGGATGGCCCAAGCACTTGGGCCCTTGAACCCATGTGAGAGTCCTAGAGCAAGCTTCTGGCTTTGGCTTGGTCCAGTTCTGGTCACTGAAGCCATCTGAGGAATGAACCAGCAGGGTGCAGAGTCTCTAGCTATCCCTCTCTAACTCTGCATTTAAATAACTAAATCTTAAAAAAACAAAAGTCACAAGCTCACATTACCCAGGGATCTTCTAGTCTGTTTATAAATGCAGAGAGGATCCTGATCTCAACGGGGCTAACAGCAGTCACTGGGAATGTGGTCTTGATCCTAAGGTTAAGACGATCAAGTAGTAAATTCAAGGTCCTCTTAACAAAGGGCAGCACATGGTGCTGTGCCTCTGGCATGAGCAGTTTCTGCAAAGCTGCTCTCTGGCACCCGTGGAAACCGGCTGTGTGACAGCGGGACTTACCCCCAGCAGGTTGCGAGGCACGTAGCCCTCCCTGTCGTTGAGGCGTGCCCACCACCACTCGATTTCGTCTTCGTCTTCTCTGCGGATGATCGTCATGCAGTCCCCTTCCCTCATGGGCAGCTCGTCGTCGTTCTGAGGCTCATAGTCCCAAAGGGCATAAATGACTCCTTTATTCATGATGCCCATCTTCTCCTGAACGCCTACAATCGTGACGGGAAGACACAGCACACACGTGACTCACAGTGTGCACTCTGAGGGACTTTCAGCTGAGAGACACAAAATGGGAAGAAGTAGGACTGGCCAGGCCGAGCACACCAGTCAGTCAGTACACATCCCAGGACTGTAGGGGCGTGGGAGGCGGGGAAGGCACGGGCTGCACCTGGCAGACAGGTGAACGCCACGCTCGCCGCCGACACAGCACTGCAAACCAGCACCCCACAAGGATCTCTCGGAGCTGGGCTCACTGGGAACACCAACACTGCGTCATGCCCAGGAACTAAAAATACAACTGTTCCCCTCTAGGCTATTACGTAAATTATACACTTGTCACACTTCCTCCTACTTCTACATGGAACGACCAAGCAATTCCAAAAACACTCTACCTAGAGGAGCAGAGAAAAAAGATCAGAAGTGTTCAGCTGTTACTCTTAAAGGAAAAAAAAAGTTACACAATGCTAGAATGCAGAAATCAGTCTTTCAAATGTGCTATAAAAAGTCTTCATATGGTCAACTCTTAAGCAAGGAGAAGCAGAATTCTAAAAGATGCTAAAATTTATAAACCAGGGCATGGCAATTCCTCAAAAGTCCACTTTTCACAAGTTGATGTCTGATTTTCAAATTACCTATTACTGCCAGTTTCGCCTTGTGTGCCCTACTTGGGAACACTAGTTAAGAAATAACCACCATTGGGATGAGGACAAAATGGCGTGCTCACGGGACAAAAATTGGTAGGCCTGGAAAGAGATGCTGAAAGTGGATTTCTTGCAAACATCTTTTTCATCCCACTTGATATGCAGCATTCCTGATACACCATGGCAGCAGCAACGGGTGATATCAAACACAGCTATCTGAAAGCATTTATCTCTAACCCATGGAGCTTTATATTGTGTTTGCCATAAATCTACATATTCTCTCCCAGATGACTATAATTACAAAGTAGAACTTGCTTTGACATCAGATGGCAGGACCATAGTTACCAGCCTTCCGTGGATATTCCATAGGAACATACCAAACCTATCCCTCGACCAGATCCTGTGCTTAATAATGAAGAAACACATGATCAAGTGCTGAAACCCAGACTGCAAGGAAGAAGTGAACACCTTGAGCAGGGACCCATGGTGGAACAACTTTACTACTAAGCACCACTGGTGTCCTCATGGACATTATCACAGACGTCGTAAGAAGCTAGATCCTCCCAAGGACAGATGCTGCTGTGGTTCTTGGAATCAAAGAAGAATGCTAGCCTGTGCTCCAGTTTCCATTTGAGAAAATTCAATCTGGTATCTTCACCTTAAATGTTATATAGTAAAAAAACAAAAAATCATTAAATATTCTTTCATGTAAAAAAAAAAAAAAAAAGAAAGAAAGAAACAACCACCATCAACAACTGGCAGGCAGCAGGGAGAATGCAGAGGCAGAGAGAAGCAAACAGATGAGAAGGCTCACCTTTGTGGCTTTTGTTTAAACTGGAAAAACTCTGCCTGTGAACAGATTTCAACTCACGTGAGCACTAAGCTATCAACTATGAACTTACTATTCCTAAATTAATTAGCATGATGCAGTGTACAATATAGCCATTCAGCAAAAATTAATATGCTCCTGGGGCCAGGGCCATGGCATAGTACATTAAGCCTCTACCTGCTACACTGACATCCCAAGTGGGTGCCAGTTTGAGACCCAGCTGCTACATATCTGATCCAGCTCCCTGCTGATGTGTCTGGAAAGCAGCAAAAGATGTCGCAAGTCATTGGGCCCCTGCACCCACAAGAAAAGTCCAGAAGAAGCTCCTGGCTCCCAGTTCGGAAGCCTGGAACTCAGCCTGGGTCTCCTAAGTGGATGCAGGAACCCAAGGCCACCTGTTACTTCCCCAGGAGCATCAGCAGGGAGTTGGGTCAGAGGTGAAACAACTGAGACTCAAACAGACACCCATATGGGATGTTAGTGTCGCAAGTGGCAGCTTATCTTGCTGTGTTACTATTCCAAGGCTCAACTTTGGAAAACTACTAGGAAAGGAAGGACACTAAGAAAAAAAGTTTGAGGCATACTAATTACATGATCAAAGTCACTAGTAACCTGAGCACCTGAATTACAATCACAACGATGCATCTGTCACTGCAAATATACCATAGTCAAGAAGCACAGAGCAAGGAAGACCTGGCAGGGATGTCTCATCAGCCCATAGGGGCGTCGGGATCCCATATGGGTCCCAGTTCATATCCCAGCTGCTCTACTTCCCATCCAGCTCCCTGCTTATGGCCTGGGAAAGCAGTCAAGGACGGCCCAAAGCCTTGGAACCTTGTACCCACAAGGGAGACCTGGAAGAAGCTCCTGGCTTCGGATTAGCTCACTCTGGCCATTGAAGCCACTTAACGAATGAACCAGGGGACAAAAAATCTTTCTCTCTGTATCTCCTTCGCTCTGTATATCTGCCTTTCCAATAAAAATAAATCTTTTTTAAAAACTCACAATGTAAGTTAATAGTTGAGAAAGATGACAAAAAGGAACTTGAGGTTTGGCATTCTCACCTACACTCTCTCCTCACCCAAGCCCTGGGAACAGACATGGAGACCAAGGGAACTGGAGACACAGGGGCAGAGGTCTATGTCTTAACTACAGAAGTCTTGGGGCCGCCTTCCTGATTCCTCTCTAGGCAGACTAAAGAGGGAAGGCAGCCTCAACTCTAAAGCTTCATCACATTAAAAAATCCTCCTTGTGCCTAAAAATGTCAGTAACCACATACTCATCTTCAAGTCCATTGTTCTCTAGGCACAGATCTGACGTTAGCAATCAGAATCATAACACTAAAACCAAGAAAAGAAAAAACTGGCAAATACATACTGCCCTCATTTCACTTTACAACGAACTGGGCTGCAAGAAAATTTGGACCACGCGAGTCTCTCCGCAGATTCCCTTGACCACTCAGGAAGGATGGGGGTCTGCTTGTCTGCTCACACAAACACCACACTCACCAAGTACCAGGATCTGCCAAGGTCAAAAGCCATCAGCATCACGAGGTCCCGAGCTACCTCACTCTTCTGTAACTGACAATAGTGGTTTCTAGCAATGCGCACAAAAGCTCTATTGTGACTTCTCGCCGTGGCTGTACTATTTTCAATTCCCAGTACTTTGTACGATATAGGAGACTATTTTCCAAATAATAAAAACATTGCGCCAATTATATGTTAGAGATTCAGGAAAATGAAGACCGGCACTCAGTACATCCAGTCTGGCCGGTTACATACCATACAGGAACTGGGAGCACTGGGTGTAGCCTTCCTCCATCTCCTCGCACTTGTCGGCCGCAGTCTGCATGTCACTGTAGGTCATGGCAAACACGGCTGCTCCTGACTCCACCAGGAACTTACACACCTGGACGTTGTTGCACGAGGCAGCACAGTGCAGCGGTGTCCTGGGAAGCGAGACACAGCAAGCGTCTGAAACATTTTTCCTAGAGTGCAAGACTCCTGCCATGATGAAATAGCCGGAAAGCTCTTAACCTCAAGCTTTTCTTCTGAAACAAAGAACTATAGCCACAAAGAGGGGGGAAAATCACAGATTAACAGAATGTGCTGGGACTAGGAGCTGGGTGAAGAGCACAGAAAACTAACAGAAATGAAATGTGTATAATAACCTCAGAATAAGATAATAGTAACAATGTCAACAGTCCTTAAATGATATGGTTTCACTCAAAACATAAGCCTTTGAAAAATCCGTTCATTGCCATCAATTTTGAAGGAATCAAGATGTATTTGAGATCCCTTTATATTTCCAAAGACTGCTACCAGGCAGGTGTTTAGACAGGTGATCAGGACCCCAGCTAGGATGGGGTGGCTGGGACATGAACTGGTGCCCACATGGAATGCCAGCACTTCAGGTAAAGATTTTAGCCTACTATACCATGATGCCAGACCCCATAGTTTTTGTTTTTACTGCATTTTTTTAAAGTTTAATTTTATTTATTTACTTGAGAGGCAGCAAGACCCAGATAAACATGAACAGAAAAAGTGTTCCAATCTGCTGGTTCACGCTCCAATCGCATGCAGCAGCCCAGACTGAATGAGGCAAAAACGAGAAGACTGGAAGCTCATCTGTGTCCTAGCAACTTGTGCCATCAGGAATCTGGAATTGGATGTGGAGTCAGGACTCAAACCCAGGACTCAAACCCATGCGATGCAGGCATCAAGAATGCTCCGTAAAAAAGGGATTCAATGGCTAAACTTTTTAGTAAAATGCTGCAAATTATGATACCTTCTTGGAGACATCCAAGAGACACTGACATATTAACCTGGACTTTTCAAGGAGCTGGAGAGACCTTGCTTCAAACCAGCCTTTCTCAAATTCACTGAGGCATGTTGGCTAACTGTAACCAATCCTCTTACTACTTTCTAAACCTCCTTTACTTCCAAGATAGGAATGAGATGATGTTAGATGGGAGCAGGCCAATCCTTCAACAGCAGACAGCCGAGTTTCCCAGGCAGGCGGCAGCTTAAGAGCACACCAAGACACACTTCCCTGCCTTCCAGCGCCCCTGCTCCCCTGCAAGCACAGCACACCCAGGTGACATCTGAACGGATTCACCAACTCTTACCATCCGTCGCTATCAGCAGCATTGACATTGACACCAAACTGTACCAGGAACTTGACGATCTCTGTGTGGCCCGCACACACAGCATTGTGAAGAGCCGTGATGCCCTCATCATTGGGCAGGCTTGGGTCATCAACCTGTAACAGCGGTAAGAAGCAGGGGCATCACCCTAGTCCCTTACCACCTGATGACTCCTCAGGGTCAGAAAGAATATAAATGTAAACTCCTGTGGCATTTTTCTAAATCATAATTAAAACATACAAGAGCCAATAAAACCATATTAAGAATAATCTTCTAGCAAATAGAGACAAAACAGTCACATTAAGTAGACACAGGCTATAAAAAGGCTTTTCTTTTTTAAAAAAATTGAAAGAACAGTGCCAGCAACTACAATTAAAGTTACATTTGTTTGCTCATTCCCCCAACTTCCTGCCACAAATGAGTTTCTAAGTAGAAGTTACGTGTGCTATGGGGACAAGGAAAAGGTCAGCTGAAACTATTTTAAACAGCAGGGCCCACATCTGTAGCTGCATGCCAAGTCGTCCTACTCCATATGTGCGTGGTGTGGGAAGAGCAACAAGGCCCTCCCCGTGAGGGTAAGTCCTCTCCTGCAGACCCGGGGCAGCAGGGTGGCACCCAATGGGCACAGCCGGTGTATTGCAACAGGAGTTTCCGAATTAGCCAAATAGAGAGAATTTAAAGAAAGTGACCCATACCTCATAAATAATTCTCTGCACAAGGTCAAATTCTCCCTCCAATGATGAATCAAGAAGTAACGCAAGAGGGTTGAATTTGACTCTCATCCCATGCGCAATCCGCTCTGAACCAGTCTTACGTAAGTTTGTCCTTTTGCCCTGCAAAGGAAAAATTGTGCAAAACTGAGGATCCTGGTCTCAAGCCCAAAGCAAATACTGCAGTCAAGTAGTAAGCAGCTCACACACTTCGCACATTCCATCCCAGGATGACATTATTCAGCAAAACACACAGATTACTGTGTAGCGAAGCACATCCTCACAGGTGCCCAAGTAGCGAAAGGGGAAGACTTTAACTGCAAGTTTACCTTTTGCCAAGTTGAAAACTAGCCAAGATGGGTCCTTAAACCAGTAAGCCCCTATTCAATCAGGCAACAACACAGCCTAGCGTTATTTCCGTTTAGAGGTTGATGCGGTGGCGTAGCAAGCTAATACTCTTCCTGCTAGCACCAGCATCCCACATAGGCACTAATTCATGTCCCAGCTGTTCTACTTCTGATCCAGCTCTCTGCTTATGATCTGGGAAAGCAGCGGAGGCTGGCCCAAATCCTTGGGCCTCTACACCCACTTGTGAGGCCAAGCAGCAGCTCCTGGCTTCAGATCAGCTCAGCTCTGGCATTAGAGCCATCTGGAGAGTGAACCGGGAGATGGAAGACCTCGAGAGGAAGGGGTTTCCTCCTGTCTCTAAAACCTGCCTTTCAAATCAAAATAAAGGAATCTCAAAAAAAAAGGGGGGGGAGGGTGTTCAGAATTATAGAGAATGGGAGGAGGACAGGAAGAGGGAGAAAGGAAGTTCTGGTCACTACTCAAATGGCTCCAATGGCGAGGGACGCGCCAGTCTGAAATCAGGAGCCTGGAGCCTCTCCTGGATCTCCCACATGGAAGCAAAAGCCCAAACACCTGGGCCATCTTCCGGGGCACATTAGCAGGCAGCTGGATCAGAAGTTGAACACTATCTGGGGAAGCTTTTGGATCTAGCTTTTGGATCAGTTGCTGCAGCCATTTGGAAAGCAAACCAACAGATGAAGACCCGCCTCTCTCTGCCTCCTCTCTGTAGCACTGCCTTTCAAATAAAATTTAAAAAAAAAAGCACTGCATGACTCCACTTACAAAAGACATCCAGAACACGTCAATTCACAAAAACAAGCAAAAAGACAAAAATGGAGCAGCTGAGGCTCTGACAGCTGTGCAGAATGCCAGCACTGCAGGTAGCAGCCCTACGTGCTAGCCCACAGCACAGTCCCAAGCCGACACCTGTGAAATGGGTTTATCTAAGCACGTGGAAACGTTCTCCAAGGTGGGACGTGTGCCACACATGCTTCTCTTTCATCTCACCCCGTGTAAGGAAACTCGGGTTTTAAAAAACGTTAATGGCCACTGATGTATTTCACAAATCTGCAGTGGCTAAGATGCTGGTGGACACCAGGTGACTGTGGAACTGCAAGTCGCAGACAGTACCCTGGGGTGCTGACCAGGACACACTCCTCGTAGAGTGTGCAAGGGAGTGGCTCCTATTTCACCCGAGGCGAGGAGGAAACAGAAGTCACTCTCCTGGGAAAAGAATAATAGAGCTGTAAAAAGAAAGCGTTCTTTTCCCTCCTTGGAAGTGGGAATTATTCTGACATAGCAACACAGACAAGAAGAGATCACAAATTGCAGCAGTGTGCATTAACTTCCTTCTTGTCTCACACATAAAACAAATGAAGAGGACCATGCCTTAGAACTGGGAAGGCAGGGGCAGGCAGTTGGCCTGGAAGTTAAGACACTGTCTGGGACCCCAGCATTCCATGCTGGGGGTGCCCACATTCAAGTCCTGCTTTCTCTTCCAATCTCAGCTTCCTGATAACACGCACCCTGGGAGCAGCAGGGGGTTCCAGCGACTTGGTTCCTGGCTCCTGGCTCCCGGCTCCAGACTCCCAACTCCTGACTTCAACCTGGCTCCCAACTCACAACTCCCGGCTCCCGGCTCCTGACTCCCGGCTCCTGACTCCCGGCTCCTGACTCCCGGCTCCTGGTTCCTGACTCCTGACTCCTGGCTCCTGACACCTGGCTCCAGACTCCCAACTCCTGGCTTCAATCTGGCTCCCGGCTCCTGGCTCCCAACTCACAACTCCTGACTCCAGACTCCCGACTCCCGGCTCCCGGCTCCTGGCTCCCAACTCCCGGCTCCTGACTCCTGGCTCCTGACTCCTGACTCCCGGCTCCCGGTTCCTGACTCCTGGCTCCTTACTCCAGGCTCCTTACTCCCGGCTCCTGGTTCCTGACTCCTGGCTCCCGGCTCCTGGCTCCCGACTCCTGGCTCCCGACTCCCGGCTCCTGACTCCTGGCTCCTGACTCCCGGCTCCAGGCTCCCGACTCCCGGCTCCTGACTCCTGGCTCCTGACTCCCGGCTCCAGGCTTCTGACTCCTGGCTTCAACCTGGCCCAGCCCAGCCCAGACTGCTCAGGGTGTTTTAGTAGTAAACCTGCAGATGGGAGCTCACTCTCTTAGTCCATCTCAGACAAACTTGTGTAGAAAGTGTTATGCCTCTATTTTAAACTTTATTCTCACTGTAAATGTTTACTGTGTTTTTTTGTTTAACCTTCATTAGTTATTCGTTTTATTTGGAAGGTGGAAAGAGAGGCAGATTTCTCATCCACCGGATCAATCCTTAAATGGCCACAACAGCCAGGAGTGGGCCAGGCCCAAGCAGGAGTCCAGGACTCCTCCCGCATCTCCCACGCAGATGGCAAGGAGCCAAATACTTCAATCATCACGTGTTGCCTCCCACGATGCACCTCGGCAGGAAGCCGGATCAGAAGCAGGAGTCAGCACTTGAACCTGACACTCTGGGACACAGGTGTCCCAAGCAGTGACAATCTCTGCACCAACTGTCCACTCCTGTAGAAAAATCCTAAGCAAACATTTACTATTACTAGTGAAAATAACCTTAGGCATTCCTTGTCTTTGTACGCTGTTATACCTAAGATATATAAGGATCATATTTCAAAGTGATGTCGCAAACTTCCAAACACAGCTTAATACTTAGAGTACAAAATAGATTCCTGAAACAACACAAAGTTTTAGGATAAAGCAATGTTACAAAAACTCCTTAGGAATCGTCTATTCTACACCATCGTGAAGGAAGAGGTTAGGCCCGCTCCACCTTGGCCCAACCGCCTCTCAGCCACCACCTCACAGACCTGTGCCATCTGATCACTATTTGAGATCTTACCCAACAGCTCATTAGATTTCTCATCTAGAGAAAGAAGCTAGCAAACAAATGGGAAAGAAGCTGGAAAAAAGGAAGGCTACAGCCCCTTTTGAGAGAAATGATACCTTGTGCCTCATCTCCCCAGCGATTTAAGTTATTGACCAAAAGCTTCAAATGCAAAAATTTTCAAACCAGTTAAGTACTGCTTCCCCAGGAGGTGGAATCAGCTGGAGAAGAAACAGTCAATGTGGTGTTTGCAGAGATGAGAACTACCCCATTACCGTGACAAAGAAATAGGTCCTTTCTAAAACGGATAAACATTCTCCGTGCTGAACACACTGCATGTTAGCAACATGTGAGCTGCAGCTGAGTTAAGGGAGTTTCAAACCAGAAAAGCAAACCGGAGACCTCGAGCACCCAAGGAGCCCAATAAGGTGAAAGCCCACCAAGACTGAAGGTCCATCGTTACTCACAGGAGGCAGAGCCACCTGCCCGGTGATCTCAGGGGGGTGCATGCTCCCGGAGTCCTCGCCAGGCCCTTCGGGTTCCCCAGACGGGTAAGGCGGTGGCGGGTACGGTGGGTACTCCTCCAGGTACACCTCAAACAGGGAGGGAGCCTCTGGGTTTGACTCGTCCGTGCCGCTCTGGAGATTGGAACTGCGATCGGGAACACCTTCAGACACATAGTCAAGGCCCGCAGAAGGAGCTGGCACGTCACTGTTCTCTGTCCCGACACCAGCCACGTCCTCTGGGGACGAGGGCTCAGGAGCCACGGACACCGTCTCTTCGGGTTCCACATGCAGGTACGGATTGGGAATGACCTCGATGGGGCTCTCTGAGCCAGCCGAGCCTGCGGCCGACTTGGCAGGGTATGAAGGCGTAGAGATAGTCTCCATGGCAGCAATGGTGGTCCTCTGATACAACAGTTTCTGAATATTCGGCCCGTTAGGACCCTCTGGCTCTGTAATGGAGCTGCGCTTCTTCAGGGGCCGTGGGGCATTGGACAGTTTTTTCCGCAGGGCTTCCAGGTCAGCATCGCTCTGGTTCCGGTACGGATTAGATAAGAAAGGCAGTAATTTGGTTGGGCTCAGGGGCCGAGGGATCCTTTCGTTTTCGTGGTTCTCCTGGACCGAGGCAACAGGCTCTGCTTCAGGTTCTGGGCTGCCGGGCTTGCCTTGGCTGCCGGAATAAACGTTCTCGGGGTGCTGCTGCTGGGCCTGGGCAGCGGCAATCACAGGCTTGCCATAGACTAATTGGAACAGTGGGGAGACTGGGGTTAGTTTGAATTAAACTGCAAAGGAACGAAAATAGGCAACAAAAACGTAGACCCCTTTTAATTTCATGCTTGCTACATAATGACTTTCAAATACAATTGAATTTTTCAAACAAATGACAAAGCAGGCTTTTAGCCTGGTGGCTGAGATGCCTGAATCCCTGCTGGAGTGCCTGAACTGTACTCCAGGCTCCAGCTCCTGACCCGAGCCTCCTCCGTGCTGACAATGGGAGGCAGTGGGGGCTGGCTCAGGTCATTGGGCTCTGCCAACCATATGACTGACTGCGACAGTGTTCCTGGATCCTAGCTTCAGTCCCACCCCAACCCCAGCTACTAGAGACATTTTGGGAGTAACTAAATCTAATACACAATCAGAACTCCTATTGACTGGAACATGCACCCTGATGTTATGAAAAGAGTAAGAGAGAAATCACTACCAGCGGAAGAAACCACTTGTTGTAATATTCCAATTTAAAATGTAAAAATGTGGGGGAAAAAATGAAAGCCAATGAGAACTGCTAGTTCTTTCATTTACAAGTACTACACTGTCATTCATGCCCCTCCAAACATAAATCAATGTGAGAAACCAAATTTATGAAGTTATTAAGAACCATTTATATATACATTATTCCCTCTTGACACTCAGGCTCTATCAAACTTCTCTTGTTCCCGGATTTCATCAGCAGACTGATGTACCACAGCCCTACCAAAAGAAGGGTGTGTGTCACAGCGTGTTGAGCTGCTCCTCGAGATGCTGGCATCACGACAGCAGCTTGAGCCCCGGAGATGCCATTTCCAACCTAACTTCCTGCCAATGTGCCTAGGAGGCAGAAGAGGGCACAGCCTGCCTGGGCTTCTGCCAACCCTATGGCTCCCGGCTCTGACTCTGCCGGGACCTAACTGTGCCTGACTGGGGAGTGAGTGAGCAAGCAGGAGACTTCTCTCTCTCCCTCTCTTCCTACTACTTTTCAAATAAATACACAAACCCTTTTTAAAAGCTAAGTATACATAGGATTCTTTGCTAATTTCCATTACAACAGGTTAGGCCGTAACTATAAGTTCATTTCACGTTGAGAGAGTCATTTTCATTTCAATAAAGCATGGTTAATTTTACTCGAACTATAACCTAATAACTTAGAGTCAAACAATTTTCCACACTGTGTATGCTTAACACAAATCAACTTATCTTTAAACAGTTGCTGTACTTTCATAAGAACAAATAGAAATGCAGTAGAGAATGTTTTTAAAAACAGGGAGGGGGCCCGGCACTGTAGCCTAGCAGCTGAAGTCCTTGCCTTGCATGTGTTAATCGCAGCAGCTCCACTTCCCATCCAGCTCCCTGTTTGTGGCCTGGGAAAGCAGTCAAGGACGGCCCAAAGCCTTGGGACCCTGCACCAGCATGGGAGACCCGGAAGAGGCTCCTGACTTCAGATTGGCACAGCTCTGGCCATTGAAGCCACTTGGAAGAGTAAGTCAGTGGATAGAAGATCTTCCTCTGACTTTCCAATAAAAATAAAATAAATCTTTAAAACAATAAAGTCCTCGCCTTGCATACACTGGGATCCCATATGGGCGCCAGTTCTATTCCCGACAGCCCCGCTTCCCATGTGGCTCCCTGCTTGTGGCCTAGGAAAGCGGTCAAGGACGGCCTAAGGTCTTGGGACCCTGCACCCATGTAGTTGACCAGGTAGAGGCTCCTGGCTTTAGATTGGCACAACTCCAACCACTGTGGCCACTTAGGGAGTGAACCATAGGACGCAAGATCTTCCTCTCTGTCTCTCCTCCTCTCTGTATATCTGATCTGACCTTCCAATATAAGTAAATTTAAAAAAAAAAATAAGTTTATATATTAAAAAAAGAAAGAAAATTGGGCCCGGCGCGGTGGCGCAAGTGGTTAAAGGTCCTCGCCTCGCACGCCCGGGATCCCATATGGGCGCCGGTTCTAGTCCCGGCAGCCCTGCTTCCCTTCCAGCTCCCTGCCTGTGGCCCGGGAAAGCAGCAGAGGACGGCGCCCAGGGCTTTGGGACCCTGCACCCGCGTGGGAGACCCGGAAGAGGCTCCTGGCTTCGGATCGGCATAGTATCGGCCCGTTGCGCTCACTTGGGGAGTGAATCATCGGACGGAAGATCTTCCTCTCTGTCTCTCCTCTCTGTATATCCGCCTTTCCAATGAAAAAATAATAAAAATAAATCTTTAAAAAAAAAATCTTTAATTAAAAAAAATCTTTAATTAAAAAAAAAAAAAAAAAAAAAAAGAAGCTCCTGGCTAAAAAAAGAAAGAAAATAATCCCCTATTTAAAAAAGAGAGAGACAGTGCAGCAGCAGTCCAACTACGCACAAGCATACCGGGGCCAAGCACAGTGCAGACGGGGCCTTGATACCACACCCACCTATGCATCCATCCCCCTGCCAGGAGCCCTGCAGAACAGAACCATGCCTGGCAGACACATTTTGAAACTCCCAGGTAAGAACAGAAGCCACAACCCAGAGAACAGCAGCATCCATCAACACAGGGGCCCTTCCCTCCACTGTCTGCCTGCAGGCAGTCCCTGGTGTGGGGCCCACCCATGTCCCCTGCCGGGTGGAGGCGAGACCAGCACCCTTACCACTGGGGAAGTGTGGTCCTCGAGTGTGTGTCTTGGTCAAGGTGCTCTGCACGGCCTGTTGGAAGTTTTTGCCGGGAGCCTGTTGCTGGGTGTACATGGAATATATAGAGCTTGCGGCCACAGTCGGGGGTTTCCTGAAGGGTGGGAGGAGGCTGTCTTTGGAAGGCTGGGGAGTGAAGGGACGGACAGCGGCGGCAGGCGGACTCTCCTGCTTAGAACTGGCAGCCAGGGCTTGGTCTTGGCCAAGCGAAGGAGCGCCAGGGCCAAGCAGCACCCTGGGCTGCGGCCCTGCCGGCTTGGGTTTGCTCCCCACAGAGGCTGGGACGGCTGCTGACAACTGCTGAGGGTTCCCATCGGGCTTGCTGTCTGAAGGCGACTGATTCGTTTGTCCAAAATAAGGCAGACTGATCTGTTTTGGTTTTGTAGGAACAGGAGGTGGTACCTTAGCCACATTTTTATTTGCAGCCTGTAAAACACACATCCAGTTAGAACACTAACATAAGTACAAAAAGCCCCAAATAACCTAGTTTCACAAATGTAAGCTCACACTATCCCACAATAGCCTTCTTTACATTCTTAAATCATGAGAACAGTTATATATCTGTATTAATCACAGTAAAGGATATACACAACACCTGTCAACTCCTGCCTCACGCCCTCCTCCTCATTCCACTTGTGGAAAGTGGAGGCGCCTACTCGAGAGCTTTTCACTGCCATCTTCCACACTCACAGATGGCACCAATAAGGGAAAACCACCGTGGTGGAAAACAAACAAACAAAAAACACCTCTATCTAACTTGGAGCACTCACCCCTGCGTTGCTCTAGTAGGCTAACCCTCCACATGTAGCATCAACGTCCTATATGGGCACCAGTTTGAGTTCCAGCTGCTCTTCAGACCCAGCTCCCTGCTTATGGCCTAGAAAAGCACCAGAGGATGGCCCAAGTGCATGGGCCTCTGCACCCACGTGGGAGATCTACAAGAAGCTGCAGGCTCCCAGCTTCAGACCAGCTTAGCTCTGGCCATTTCAGGAGTGAATCAGCAGAGGAAAGATATGTCTCTCTGTAACTCCTTCAAGTAAAATAAATAAATCCTTTTTAAAAAGACTAAGGCCCTAATGGCTACAGAAGACTCACCTTCAAACAATGCGATAAAACCCAGCTCTCGATTTGGAAGAAATAAGATGCCTGACCAGCACAAGTACGACACTCTGCAAAGCACTTGCAGTTTGTAAGGGAACCACAAGAAATGTGCCCCAGAAACAAATGTGTCAGTGCTTCCCTGCAGCCGAGGGCACACTCGGCAACAGAAGCTCAAACAACCACACGCTACTGTGCACAGAAATGAGACCAGCAGAAGCAGCGGAAACACTGCATTTTCTAAGCTTACTCACACCACCTCGTTTTCTCTGCTCGCTCTCACGTGGTATTTTTACAGTCTAAGTACCTGAGCATCCCGCAAGAGGTCTTCGCTGCTCTGGTTTTTCCGCAGTGGACCGAAGGCAGGAGGCGCAGCAGCCTGGTCGACTGTGTCAAACATAGAAAAGGGTCGTACTTTCCTCTCCTTCTCCCTCAGCGCAACCTCCCCATCATCACCTGAAGGCAGAAAACACCAAAGCGCTCTGCAAACCTCCAGGCCTGCTCGGGCAGTTCTCCCTCCTGCAGCTCTCGGAACCCCTGTGCCCACTCAGTGCCTTCTGAGTCCAACCTCAGCTGACCAGACGCTGAGCCCACAGACAGCCCCTGGGGTCCCAACCAAGGGAAGGTGTTGCAAAAAACACAAAGCACTACAGAATGGCCCTGGGTTCAACACAGCTGAACACAGAGCTTTCAGAGGAGCGAGCTGAGGTACTGAACAGCAGCATAAAGCAGCCCCACCTGGGTCCACAGCATTCCCGGCACTCTGAGGAACGCAGGAGCCAGGGCTCAGGAAGAGATCTGCATTCGAAGGTCCCCACTCAGGGCCGGCCGCGTGGACGTGAGAGCCTGCGGGGCAGAGGAGCAGCTACAGGTGACCCAGCGTCCTGAAGAGGGCGCTAGTGGTCACTTCCTGCTAGGACTTCCATTTCTAAGGGCAGTTTTCGACTCCACACTTGCCACAGCCCAAATAAAGGGATGTAGAGAATGCAGTGTCACACTTCATGTTGCTAACTGAAGAGTCTCTTACCTTCTAAAAGTAACAAAGTCTCAGCAGAGAACAGACTAAGAAAAATATCACCCCCAAATGGTGTGCAGCACAGCAGGACCAGGCAGTCAACAGAACTGTGGACAGTACAGCCCGGAGCTTGAATCACCGTCTTCCCAGAGGAGTGTACCTCAGGCTTAAACTTCAAAAGCCACAACCTCACATTTCTACCTACTGCAGAGTACTATTAGTTCAATTAGCAATTATGGCAAAACAATCAAAACTTCTAAAATTTGCAACATTTTGCATATAACAAGGGTTAGAGAAGACCAAACTGGCTACTGCTTTTACTTTCCTGGGCTCTGAAGAACAAGGTCATAGAAGGGTGTTCTCAACCACGTCCTCCCTACGACCTCCCCCCCCCCCCCCCCCCCCCCGTTCTCCCCAGCACCCGCAGCCATTACAGAACTCTGGCCTGCGCTCCCCACCCAGCTGAGGACTACACGCAAATGTGAAGACGGCCCAGGAGGAAGCCTCTGCTGGATCCTCATTTAATCTTCTAACGTGTTCGCCACTATTCTAACAACGCTCAGTGGGTATGCACAAATATTCACCACTGCTCAGAATCAGAGTGCATCCACAGCCCCACATCCTAAGATGAGGACTCCGCTAACATTCAGACACCGTTTGAAATGAAAGCAAAGCTCTTCAATTATCACTGTCAGATCAAGTTAACTCAGGAACAAAGAGCTTTTCAAAACCATCCTCAGACGTCATGAATGTATTTCATTTCATTTTCTAAACAGAACTGTGTTAAGGTTGAAATACTTATCATTGCAGTAGCAAAGAACAGAAGGAGATTTTTTAAGATCTTACAAGGGATGTAGACACTTTGCTTTTGGTAACTGAAACTTGGGGAGAGTAACAGCAGGATGAGGCAGAGCTCGGTTGCATATGGAGTTGGAAAGGGCCTGTCTTACCTTTAGTTTGTGAAGCAGACCCCAGTCTCATATTCGGCAGCGTCTGCATCTTTGTCGGCCCCTCTGGAGCCTGCATGGCCAGGGAGCCGTCCGGCAAGGCAGGCTTCACCAGCAGCTCTGGCCGGGAGGGTATGCGCGGCATAGTGGACGACTGGATGTAGGGACCCACGGCCGCCACACGGCTCGGGGCCGCCACCGCTTGCTGGGGAAGGTTTCCATCGGATGAAACCTCGGGAGCAAAAAGAAAGCAGAGGCCCCCTTCAGGGTGACAATCCACACAGCGGGATCAGATCCAGAAAAAACGGTGCCATTTCCCCAGGTTTACAAATGACCATCTTCAGAGTCTAGTCATCCAGTCCATAATAAACGTTCCCCAGACAAAAACCACCTGAGTGCCTTTAAAAGTGCTAGAAAGGCTGGCAGAGCTAGCCAACCACCCAGGCAAGCACATGGAAAAGGAGAATGCCACTGCTTATGCGAGAGGGCATGCTGGGTAACGATGCAGAAGGAGCAGTAGTAGTGACCTCACGGGGCGGGTCATCCCCTGCCCCCTCCCCAGGCCCTCGCCAGAACTGCCCACTTACTGGGAGATTCTCCTTCTGCTGCAGGGCTGCCTTCTTCTTCCACAGCCGATCCCTCAGCTCATTAACACGCTTCTCCATGACTGCCACTTCTGAATTCCGCTTATTCAAACACTCCCTCTGTTGCTGCAGCTTGGCATTCTGCTCCTGATTCAGTTTATTCCTTAACTGAATACAATAGGGAGGGGGGCAAAGATAGCCAAGGAGTAGGAAGGAAAGTTTCGCAAACACAGTCACATGGTTAACTATTACATAATTTCTAAAAATGCTAGGCCCCCTCCACCCTTCACACTTCTCAGCTCACGGTTTAAAGTTAAGTGACACCTGTGGCTAGACCACTAGCTGTGGTTACAGGAAATGCCTCAAACTGCCTGCCTAAGGTACAATAAAGTTTATTCTGGATTCTTTGAGGTTTAGATCCCAGCCGTGCACCAGGGAAAAGCAAGTATTTGCTGTCACTGATGGCTGCGAGGGGAGCCCACCCTGTAAGCGCCCAGGTACCTGAAGCTCCTTGTAGAGGCGGTCGAGCTCAGCCACGGCTGACTGGTTGTCATGGTGGCCCTCGATCCTGCCATTCTTGAGCATCTCCAGCTGTCGGGTAAGTTCCTCTACCTTGGACATGGCCAGGACGAGCTCCCTCTGTTTCTGCTGGAACAAACTGTTCATCTGTTCAATTTCCTCCACTAGAACAAGAGGGAGAACAGCAAAATAAGAATGGAGGTCATCTGAACAAGCAACTGAGTCTTGCAATAAACCTTCCATTAAAAGGTAGGTGGATTTTTCAGACCGTCGTAGAACAAATCTAGTTCTTGCAGAAGCAAATGAAATCAACAGTCATCTCACCTTCAGAGAATCCACAATATGAATATACAACACATTAAATCAAAATTTTGTAAACAATGAAACTGCTCTAGAACCTTTCATCTCAATTTTTTACATCATTATATTTTTAAAATGTGTAACAAGTAAAAATTGTACGCTGTTATGCAGTACAATGTAGTGTCTTAACACACATACACAAAATAACCTACCAAACCATATAACCAGGCTTTCTATTTCCTTATCTTGTATATTTAGATTCTATTGTCTGCCCTTTTTCAGCTCTTTAAACATTCTGTAACCCAGTACTGTGGAATGGTCACTGTGCTATCAAACACCAGAACCTGTTACTTTCATCAGAACATATTTTAGCATCCAGTATCCAACCTGCCTCCATCTCGAGCCCGAACTGTAACAGTGACCCGAGCAGTAGCACTAAACTTCTGTTTGAAATAGTAAGAAAATACACAGAGCTGTTATTACACAAATAAAAACCACCTTCAAATTCTTTAAAGTATTTAAAAAACCCTTACTTTTAAATTCTTTAATAATACTTAAAGGAAAGAAGTCCGCTACTACAGTTTCCAAAGGCAACAGAAACCACGTCTGACACATTCAACAACTGAATTCAAGTAGAAGGATGCTACTTTTAATGCTAATTCAGTAGCATTAAAACTGCAGTGGATTCTATTTCTTCAAAAATCCTCTTAGCAAGTTAGCCACAAAGCCCCAGCTTATTCTCCCTACTGCGGATGCACTTCCTGCACCAATCTGGCATCCTGGGCCACAACGGTCTGCCCACACTGCACTGGACAGTAAGTCAGCCTGCTCGGAGCAGCTCACCCAGTTTCCCGTTGCTGAGCCGCTTCTGTTCCACGTGGCCTTTCAGGGCTCTGACAGCCTTCAGCTTGGCTTCCTGGCTTTCAGCTATTTCTCGGAGCCTCTTCAGCTTCTCCTGCTCGGCTGCTTGTTGCTGTTGACGCTGATCCTGTTGTTTTAAAAACTTTAGGCGCTGCTCCTGAAGATTGAAAATTTTTTTAACGGAAGCTGAGTAATCAAGTCATACCATTTATCATTGAAAGTAAGCTCCTAGCATGAACATGCCTATAATGTATCACTGGAAACCATTTCAAAATAAGGAACACGAGTTGGAAATTTATTCCTCAATAATCATCCTTATTATATGAACAGATGTTCCTGCCACTCAATGTCCTGCTGCCTCAGTGCCACCTGGGAGTTTGTCGGACATGCAAGCTCTCAATCTCCAACTCCCACCTGCTGCATCAGACCATGCCTTCTCAACAAGACCCCAAGACGCCCAGGAGAGTCACAAGCACACTGAAGTCTGAGACACAAGGACACCCCTGGCTCTGAAAAAGCTGCTGACTGGCAGTGCAGATGGAAAAGGATGCACAGGAACCTGGATGGCCACGGCACATGGTTAAAACTGCCTCAAAGCATCCCTGGCCTTGGCACCAGAGCCCTGCTGGATAACTTGTGTCAAATCACCACTGTTCTCTCCAACTTCAATAGACTGGCAGGGTCCATAAGACTGATCCATTAAGGGTCTGAACGTTTATATCAGGAGGTGGCAAACTACAGCCTACAGCCAAATTCAGCACACTATGTTCTTCTGTATGGAGCATTTTATTAGAACACAGCCACATCCATTCATTTACCTATTGTTTGTGGCTGCACACAGAAGCAGAGCTGAATACTTGTAACAAAAACAGCATAGCTTGCAACTCCTAAAATATTTACTCTGCAGCTGTTAAAGGAGAAAGTCTGATGGCATCTGGTTTAGACTGGACGCCCATGGCTGGTAGAGAAAACGGCAGCGAGATGGGTTTTAATGGGAATGAAGAGACATCTCATGTTTTCTTTGTTCAAGGCCAGGATTAGTTTGTGGCTAAGAGAATGTCCCCAAATAAAAGCTAACAGCCTGCTGTTGGTGCCAAGCAACAGAAAGGGACAGTGCCAGCATTAAATTTGAACACTCCTCTCCTGGCAGCCCAGGGTAGGTTCCAGCAACAAAGCTGAAGGGCTCTTTATGACTCTTCTGCTTTACTGAGACTCAACACAGGAGACACCATGGGAAACTCTGACCAAAGTCAGAGGTGGGGCGAGGGGGATGAAGGGGGCGGGCAGGACAAGCTTTTAGCCCAGTGGCTAGGTCACAGGTTTGGAACCTGTGTGGGCCTAACAGCTTATGTCCTTGCGCTGTTCCCAATTCCAGCTTCTTGTTATTCTACCCCTGGGAAACAGCAGGTGATACTTTAAGTAGTAGGATCTCTGTCTGCCACAAAAGACACTTGGATTAAATTCTAGGCTCCTGGTTGTGGTCTTCAGCTGAGGCGGTATAGTAGGCATTTGGGGAGAGAATCAGTAAAGACAGAGGAGCTCTCTCTCCCCAAGCTGCCCCAATCCCTCTAATAAATACATAAATAAATAAATTTGTGGGCCCAGCACGGTCGCCTGGAGGCTAAATCCTCGCCTTGCACACACCAGGATCCCATATGGGCACTGATTCATATTCTGGCTGCTCCACTTCCCATCCAGCTCCCTGCTTGTGGCCTGGGAGAGCAGCAGAGGATGGCCCAAAGCCTTGGGACCCTGCATCCACGTGGGAGATCCAGATGAGCTCCTGGATCCTGGCTTTGGATTGTCTCAGCTCCAGCCACTGTGGCCACTTGGGAAGTGAACCAACGGATGGAAAATCGATCTATCCTTTGTTCTACAATTTATAAAATTCAGAACCCAAGATTAGGAAGATCTTGAACAACTGGGATAATAAATGCTGCCGGAAGAAGAAAGCAGCAATCCATAGGTAACTCTGGGGGTGCAAACGCAAACTCACACCTGTGACACAGCTGGCTCAGTGAGAATGGCCTGTAAGCAACTACACTAACAATGGCAGCCTGTGGGCAGGGCTGACAAACAAGAAACTACCTTAGTGGCCAGCATTTGTTGCTGGGCTTCAATCTGCTGCTGCTGACGCGAGGCCATTTCCTGAAGTTCTGCAAGTGTCAAATCCATCCTAGGACTGTTAACCTACAAATGAAACACAGACACACACAACCCAACTCACTATGAAACAATCACAGAAGCCCCTCTCTCAGTACCACTCGGTATATGAGAACTAGCTGTGACAAGATTATCTAGCCAATTCTGTTTCATAATTTTACACAGCTCATTAATTTTTAAATTAGTATTCAATGCATTTACTTAAGATAGAACATTTACTATATAGAACAACACCACTTCATGCTAACATGTAACCTGAAACAGTTGAACTGTGAAAGACACTGAAAAAGTTCATTTCTATTAGAAGAGTAGTGTTTGACCAGGATCAACAGTATGGGGGCATTGGTAACAAATTCAAAATACAGCCACTGGAACATCATTTTAAAGATATATTAGCACTAAAAATTCAAGACACATTGGGTCATCAAGAACAAAGAAACAACGTCCACTCTCATATCTATCCAATATCATCACAGAGGTTCTGGCCAGTGCAATAAAATAAGAAACAAAGTGGCATCACAAACATAATCACCTATGAAGAAAAGCTGTAAGTTACTTAGCAGGATTGTAGAACAAAAGGTTAGTGTGCAAAAAAGAAAAAAAAAATCAATTGCATTTTTATGTATTAGCAACATTCAGAAATTGAATGTCTCTCGAATGACTACATGGCCAGGGCTGAGCCAGGGGTCTCCCATATGAGTGCAAGGTTCCAAGCAGATGGGCCGTCTTCTACGGCTTTTCCCACGTGATTAGCAGGGAGCTGGGTCTGAAGTGGAGCAGCTGATACTTGCACCAATATAGGATACCAACACTGCAGAAGTTGCTCAACTAGCTGCACTACTATGCCAGCCCCCAAAATGGAAATTTTTAACTACTACTTATAATAGCACCAAATATGAATTACTTCAGGATAAACTTAACAGATGTGCAAGACCTAGCCACCAAAACTTTCAAATATTGCTGAAAGACAACCTAAACAGGCAGATGCACCATGTTCATGAATTTTAAAGCTCCATATTGTCAATGCAGCTTCCTAAACTTTTCTGTAGAGTCAACAGAATCCCAGAATTCCAGAGAAACATTTTTGCATAAACTAATCACCTGATGTCAAACTTTACATGGATATGCAGAGTATCTAGAAGAGCCAAAAACAACTTCAAAAAGAGTAAGGCTGGAGAACTGACACCGTCTGACCTCAAGACCAGGAACCAATACAGTGTGGTGCTGACGTCAAGACAGGGAAGTAGATCAATGAAACAGAATAGAAAGCATAAAATAAACCCACACATCTATGGGGCAACTGGTTTTAGACAAAGGTAGCGACACAACTGAGTAGAGAAAGAATCACCTTTTCAAAAAATACTGGTTGTGCAAGAGGACACTGATACACAAAAAGCAGATGAGCTGTGATTTTCACACGCAAATGTTAACTCAAGGAATCACAGATTTGAATGTGAAACCTAAAATCAATACTTTAAAGAGACAGAGGAAAACAATCATTTGTAATGTTGGGTTAGATAAAAAGTTTTTATATGAAATGCCAAAAGTATGTTTTGCTTAAAAAAAACTGATCAATTGTACTTGATCGTAATTCAGAACTTCTTCTTGGTTTTAGATGGAAGATTTCTCTCTCTAACTCTTCCAACTAAAATAAAGAGCTGACGACAGCAAACAGTGACGAAGAAGTGAAAAACTAGTAGTCTCTGGTGAAAAGTAAAATCACAATTGCTTTGAGCAGTTTCTTATAAATATACAAGTTACTATACATCTATCCTATAGCCCAGGTAGTCTACTTCTCATTTCCTGAATTGCTTAGGAAAAATAAAAGGAAATGCCTTCGTGAAGGCTTATACCCAAGTAACCCATAGTAACTTGACATAGAATAACCAAAAACTGAAAACAAAACCAAATGCATTTATCAAGAGCTCAATGGATAAACAAACTGCTATCTCCAGACAGTAGAGTAGCTCTCAGCACCAAAAATTATGCCTTAAATTAAAATTTACCAAACTGTGCAACTTAAAGACACAACTTACTGTACATCAATTATACTTCCACAAAGTTGTTTCTGTAAGTTAAACCCAAGAGTGTCCAGATGCATTCAGAAAGTCCACTAATGGCTGGGACCACTTTTATCATCTTTTCAGGGTCATTCGTTCATTAATGAATGACACTTAAGATAAAAAAAAAAAAAAACGGGGGGGAGGGGGCAGTGCAATAGCACATCACGCTAATCCTCCACCTGTGGGGAAGCATTCTAAATAGATCCCAGTTCCAATAATGGCTATCCATTTCCATCCACTCCCTGCTTGTGGCCTGAGAAAACAGTGGAGGATGGCTCAAGTCCTTGGGCCCTGTACCCCACATGGGAGACCCAGGAGAAGCTCCTGGCTCCTGGCTTTTGATTGGCTCAGCTCTGGCCATTGCAGCCATTTGGGAAGTGAACAAATAAATCTTAAAAGCAAAAAACAAAGTTGTGAGCTCTGTACAGAAAATGTCTTTAAGGAACACGAAAATAATTGCTTTATTCAATAAAGTTAATAGTTCCTATGAAATAAATTTAAATATCCTTTTAAAACAGACTGATTTATTTTTCTTGGAAAGGCAGATTTGACACAGAGACAAAGATCTTCCATTTGCTGGTTACTCTTCAAGTGGCTACAACAGCCAAAGAGGAGCCGGTGAGAGCCAAGAGCTAGGAACTTCCTCCAGGTCTCCCACATGGGTGCAGGGTCCCAAGCTCTGGGCCGTCCTCGACTGCGTTCCCAGACCACAAGCAGGGAGCTGGATGGGAAGCAGAGCAGCTGGGACATGAACCGGCACCCATACGGGATTCTGGGTGCTTGCAAGGCTATCATATCAGGCCGTAAATATCCCTTTTTCTTTTTTTTTTTTTTTTTACTTGAAAGCCAGGGTTAGAGAGATGGGGAAGGACAGGGAAATCTTGCATCTGCTGGTTCACTTCCCAAATGGCAGTAACTGCCAGAGCTGGGCTAGGTCAAAGCCAGGAGCCACGAAATCCAACTGGGTCTCCCATGTGGGTAACACACTCCATTGCTTTCCCAGAATTAGGAGGGAGCTAGATCACAAGGAGAGCAGCCAGCACTCAGATCAGCTAGATAGGGGATGCCGGCGCTACAGACACAGCCTAACCAACTATGGCACAACTCCAGCCCCTCAAATATCCTTTACGGAAAGGGCCAGCATGAACCCATGCACAACAAATCAGACTCAAAGGATAAGAAGGCAGTGTCACCACAGCATATGCAGTATGGATTAGAACAACTACTTACACCATTCTCGTTTCTGCGATGTTCCCCAGCTACTTTCACACCATTTCTTTTTAAGCCCGCATCCTGAGGCCTTGGTCCACTCGCTGAGGACAAAATTCAAAAACTTGGCATTAGCACCAGAGCTGACCAGTGTTTTAAGCAACAGTTCATTCTGAGCTTCGTTATTGTTGTTTGATACTTAAATTTAACATGTACATAAGATGCTTTCTACTATCAATGGAGAGAAGATCTCATAATTCATTCTGTTCCGGAAAATCAATTACATGCAACAGTGAAAAGTTAGCACTACGAAATACCACATGCCACGGCTTATCATTAGGGAAGCTGCCTGATTCGCACACCAAAGCAGGGAAAATGAACAGAACTAATGAACGCACTTTGTGGGTAACTCATGCTATTTGTTCAGTTGCTTTTCCAAGCCCTCTCTTCTCGAGCTCTTCAGTAGTGAAATCAAGAGTCAATTAACTGAAAATTAAATCAGTCAACCCTCATATCCATTCATCAACAGCATTTGTAACTTTTTTAAGAATTGAAAATAGGACAAATGGTGTAACATTTATTTGATTTAGTGAGAACATTTTGCTTAAACATACTATGAAGTGTTTTCCCATTTAAGTTTAAAACAAATAATTCCCACTTTCCCAGTTCAAGAAATTACTAACTAAAAAACACTGCAGTCTGCTTTTTTGAACTAGAAAGAGAATTTTTTATTATCACTTAATGTCACCACTTTCAAAAGCATTAGTTTAAATTAACAATTATAATAAATAATACTAACAATTTTTCAAAGAGATTAAGCTCACACCTGTACTTTGTGCAAATCAGGAAAACTATTAAACTACTTATGAAAATTTAAATTTAAAAGACAAAGTTTAAATTTATTTTGAATCCAACATTCATGACACTTGCCAAAAAGCTGAGGACAAATTCCCATGCCAACAAAAAAAACGAGCATCCTTGGAGCCAACCATCACATATACACCTGACTCTGACGTGTTACCCTATTTTTAAAATTGCTCAATTCTCAAACAAAATAACTCAGGTGAATTCTGTCACAATATTTTTACAGGAAAAAAAAAAGTTCTGTAATTTAAGAATAATTGCTTTCTTTGTTGCCTTGTCAGAGAGCGAGCATTTAATAGCTAGCTTTTCCTTTGTATAATCAGTTACATAACTAATGAGGAAGAGTGCCAGCTTTAAAAAATCAGAACCCAGGTTCTGGGTCAGAAGTCCTAGTTAAATTGAGAAAAAGGCCTAGAAACCATGTCCCAACATCCTCAATCTAGAAGAAGCCTGTACTAAAAACAGGGCATCCTGCCCTACCCCAGGGTCAACACTGTGGGGCGCTGGTGTGCAGTGAGGGAAGGCAGGTCTCACATCCTCAGACGCTGTTTCTCACATTACAAACACTGAAACTGTACATTGTACCAGTGAGACAAGTTAATAATTCACCCAGTATCACACAGAAAGACACCAGAACTGGCAGGCAAACAGGGCAAACTCAACCCATTTTAGGTAGAAAAGAATGCACAATTAAGTAGTAATGTAAACACAGAACAAACTAAAAAATAAGAGGCAAATGATGACTTGCTTAGGGAAAAAGTAATGCATGCTTCACTTTAAAAGAAGTAGACACCACTGGTATGGAAAGGCATGTAAGCCAGCCACTGCTGGTTGAGTCACTAACCCCCAAGGATCAAGACAGGTAGAAGAGGCCAGACTAAATTTAACTCCTAGTGGTCAGGAACAGACACTTGTGCTAAAGCTACACTAATCAAAGTGAGAGTTCATAACGTTAGCAACTAACATCCTTTACCCGCAGTCTTACACCTAAACACACTGGCCTCAACTGTCTGTCTTAGGGTCCAAAACTTCTAGAAACGCAGTCACCCTGTCTCAATTCATGGCTCACCACTAAGAACGGAGGCCCCCAACCTCAGCTCTGAGGCTCCTCGGCCTCCCGCACCCCAAGATCTCAGGGCCACGGGTAGCAGCTGCGTCTCCAGGGTCTACAGCGCCTGCACTCCAACTTGTCTTGGCGTCTCAACAGTCACCTCTGCCTGCCCTGCCTGGTGTCTGGAACCCCGTCACAGCCCCACGAACAAGTGGCCATCTGACAGTTCTAGACCCCAGGTCCTGCTGTGCTCTGGAGGGCTGCCCCACCCTAGCGCTGGCCTCTCACTCTCATTCTAACTCATGCTCACCTCAGGGCCCACACGGAGAGGACAACATCACAAATGTCCTACCTCTGACATGTTAAATTCCAACCTGTTAATTTTTACCACAAATTCCTTTCCATGCACCCATCTCGCACACCTCTGCATTAGCCCAGCTGAACCCTGCGGCCTATGGGCAGTCGGTCTCCTTACTGACACCTTCTTCTCCCCTGTCCTGCTGACCCACCATTTGACCAACACTGGGTCAAGCCAACAGTCTCTTCCTCTCACAACCTCCTGGGCTGCAGAGCACGAGCAGAGAAATGCCCACCACCCACACAGCCCCACGGCTCCCGTCCCAACTGGCCTCAGCGCTACCAGCATTCAGTGTCCCTGGTGTCCCCACAGCAGCTCAAGCTGCCACCCACCTACCTCTGTCACCCTCATTATCAGGTAACTCTGTCCCCCTCTCAGATAAATCAACTGTTTGCAGATGAAAAGTCCTTTAAACTGACGCCACAAAATGCCCCACCTAGCTGTATCAGCGGCCACTTTCCTCCTTTCTGCGGCAACAGAGAAAGGAGCCTCTCCACCAGGGCTCAGGGAGCAGCTCCGGGCAGGCCCAGCCTCTACCACCTCCTGCCCATCGCACAACAAGGCCACAGTCCACCTATCTCCCCCCTGCGATCAAAGCCATACCCGCGCTCTCCTGCACCAAGAGCAGCTCTCAGCAGAGCAGTCTGGCCCCACTGCTTGCTTCCTACCCTCACTCGCCCCACAGACCACCTGGCTCCTCACCAAATGCCATCACACCTCCAGGAACTCCAAGATAAGGGCTGCATCTCATAGGATACCACCTACCAACGTCTCTGCCAGGGGCACGTTCGTGGCGAAGGAAGAAACGGACCTCGTTCCTCCGACTTCCGAATCGTTGAAGAACATCAAACAGTAGCTCGTTATCAGCAACCGGGCGTTCTACAAGAAACGGGTAGAAATTTATCTACAGGTAAAGGAAAGACATGTTATCTACATATTCTGTGGGTACGGGAAAGGCACTTACCTATGGACACACATTATCTACAGGTAAAAGGGAGTATAAACATAGCATTCAAGCAAAATATGCAATATGCACTACAGATGTAGTTCTTAGTATCTCTGATCCCTTTATCATTATTATTAAAAAGAATCCAGAAAACAATCTACAACCTATCTCTAACACATAATCACTGACAAATCAATGAAGTCCTAGAAAGAGGAATGGGGCAGCCAGCTGTGAGGAGCAAGCCTAACCCAGTGGGATCCGTCACTCATGGGCAGTCAGGATTCCAGCAGGGTCTGTCATCTACTACACCACAGGGCTCCCCCAACACATCTACACCAGTTTCTAAGTACACAAAGAAAAATTTAAAAGCAACTTTCTATACAGCCTAATCTTACTTTAAAAATACACATATATATGGTTTTTAATATAGGCTGCTGTAAAGCTATTGTTAAAGTATTATTGTATAACCAATATTTGGAACCGAGACCTAGTCATTTCCAAGCACAAGGCTATTTATGACAACAGACTTCTTTATCTCCCTGGCCCTTCTTCCAGCACCAGAGGCACCTGCCAGAACTCTGCTGGACACAGAAAGGAAAGTCTGGCCTGACACCCTGGTACACTGAAGCTGCTTCAGCAAAAACGATAGGTTTTAAACTCTCCTCAAAAGAACCTTCCAGTCTCAGGAAAGGAGCTGGATATAAAAAGCCAACAAGCTATTTAAGAAGACAACTACTCAAAATCAAAGAAAAGATTACAATGTCAGTATGATTTCTAAGTAGGAGAACTGTGAAATGGCCTGAGGAAACCTGACACACCGGCCAGTCATCAAAGGCAGGATCTCAACACCTTAAATAAACACCGTGGGCAGAGGCGGGAGCAGCCAAGCCTTCGGGAGTCCATGACCCCAAACAATCTGCCTGAGGACAACACAGAGCAGTGCTGCTCCTCCCCAGGTGACCCACATAATCTCCCTCTGTAGACCCCAAAAACTCTAAGACCCTCCCCAAAAGGAACCACTCAAACTGAGACACCTTCCGTAAGAACCACACACATACGTGTTCATGCACGCACACACACATATACACACATGTATACACACACATATGGACACAAGCACACCGGCTCTCACACACACACATTGTTGCACCACGAGGAAGAAAGTGAAACTCGCGCGAGGGACCCCACTGCCTCCTATTCCCCACTGACCTGCCCCAGAAGGGTGCAGGCGCGCAGGTCCCCGAGCCAGTGTGGGCCTGCACCCACTGACAGACACTTCAAAGCTCTCCGAGGGACTGCCCATGGGACTCTGACCGTCCACACCAGCGTCCCAGGCAGGCATCCTTTCCTCCACCTGCAGAGGGGCCTCAGCCGTGTGTTAGTGCACACACTGCACTGTCACAAAAATGCAGGGCGAGACCCGCCTCTCCTCTGCACCCGAAGATACCTGAAGGCAGGTAGCCTGCTTCTGTTTCCGCCCCAAACAAGTGCAGTCTCTACAGCCAAATAAGCAACTAGGAAATATCCATTAAGAAGCAAGAAATGGGGGAAAAAAAGAGATAAGGTAAGACTTATAACACCAGTAGAATTAAATAACAGAACACGGCTCCTCCATTGGAGCGAAGGTAGCACAGATTCTTGAGATCCAAGAAGAGCTTGTTAAATGCCCACGAGTCAGGAGAGAAACAAATGCCAACACAAGCAAGGGACATGAGGAAACACCTGGAAACACGGATACTCAAATGACTAAGAAACAGAAAAACAGGCAAAACGTAGCCATAATTTTAAAAAACACAAATTTCAACCAAAGGCCATTTTTCAGGTTAGCACAAAGTAAGATATGACTGCAACAACTATTGATATGGTACAGTTCTAGAAGTACCAGAAGCAATACAGCATCCATGGACAGAAATCTGACAACACCTAAGGGGTGTCCAAGAGGCTCACGGAAAACACACAGTTTGAAAAACGGCCTGGCTTTCAGAAGTTTTTCACACCATAATATAAACTTATCTTTATCTTGGTCTTCCCATGAAGCTTCCTAAACTACCCTGGATACACATCACAAGCTGAAGTGCGAACCTTCAGCCAAGGAATTCTTCTCCTTGGTAGCTGCACGCAGAGATGCCTCCTCCATGGAGGCTCGCCCAGGTGGGCGCTGGACACAGCAGCTCAGATGGTATTCAGCACGCCTGCATCCCACATTGGAACGTCTTGCTCAAGTCCCAGCCTCTTGCTTCTCATTCCAGTTTCTACTCTCACGTACTCAGGGAGATAGCAAACCGTTGCTCAAATATGAGAGTCCCTGCCACCCACAAGCTTTGGCCTGCCCCAGCCCTGGCCATCACATGCAATTTGGGGAGTGAACTAGTGGATGGGAAGATCTCTGCCCCCCACCCTTTGCTCTCAGTCTCTCTCTCCCTCTTTGACTCTGCCCCCTCCAACAAAGTAAAAATAAACTAACTGAATAATTTTAAAAGAAAACCCTTATAAATAACAGGGCTCCTAAAAGGATTTTCACTATAGCATTTACAAAAGCAAGAGAGGGACTTGCACTGTGGCACAGTAAGTTAAGCCTCTATCTGTGGCACTGGCATCCCCTGTGAGCAATGGTTCACATCCTAGCTGCTCCACTTCCCATCCAGCTCCCTGCTTGTGGCCTGGGAAAGCAGTAGAGGACTGCTCAAAGCCCTGGGACCCTACATCTGCGTGGGAGACCTAGAAGAAGCTCTTAGCTCCTGGCTTCAAATCAGCTCAGCTCTGATTATCGCGGCCACTTGGGGAGTGAACCAGTAGACAGAAGATCTTCTCCTTCTCTTTGTAGGTATGCCATTCTAAGAAAAATAAATCTTAAAAAGAAAAAAAAAGTTGTGTAAACTCAACTGAGCCAAAATACAAGAGGCATAGAGAGAACAGGAGGGAATAGATGGAATCAAGAGTTTCAAGAGAATAAAGGCAAAGACAGAGAATTCACTTTCTCTAAGAGAATGAGCAAGAAGCCAAGGCACAGAGGAAGGAAACTTAGGCCCACAGAAGATGGTTTCAGTCATCTCAGGGAAGGACGAAGCCAGGTCATTTTCTAAGTGTAAGGAGGTTGTCAGAGGTGGCTAGTTCATTTACTCACCCAGGAAGTATTTCTTAAGCTCCCATGAGGTATCAGCCACTACCCTTGGGCTGGAGATACAGGCTCAACAGGGTCTCTGCTCTGAGGTGTTTGACAGTCCAGTGTGTGTGTGAGGCTACAGGCGTTAAGGAGTCAATAAACACATACATACACATAGACGTCAGAGAGTGACGTGTTCTGCAGAGGATTAAATCAGGATATAATAAGGAACTAAATTCATGGCTGCTTTTCAAAGATGTATTTACTTACTTGAAAATCAGGTTGAGTGTCAGAGACACAAAGACAAAGAGACAAGGAGAGAGATGTCTCATCCATGGGTTCACTCCCCCAAAAAGTCTGCAATAGTCAGAGCTGAGCTAAAGCCAGCAGCCAGGGTCTGGAAGCAGCCATCCAGGTCTCCCGCGTGGGGGCCGTCATCACCTGCCTTCCCAGGCACATCAGCAGTGTGATATGAGATAGAGGCGTCCCACACAGCAGCCTAACCATCTGCACCGCAGTGCCCACCCCCTCCGTGGCTGTTCAAGCAACTTGCTCAGAAAAGCCTCTTCAAGAAGGCTGAAATAGCTGAAATGCAAATGACCAGAAGAAACTAGCAATAACAATAGCTGCTGAGAAAGCAATTGGTCATACAGGCATATAGAACCTAGTAACAAGGGCTCTGAAGAAGAGGGGTGGAGCCTAGCAAATGCAAGAAATGTTTAAAGGCTGCAAAGAGGGACAAGTATTGAGGCAGAGTGGGTTAAACCACAACCTGCAACATCTACATCCCACATCACAGTACCTGGGTTTTCAGTCTCACCCATTTCTCATCCAGCTCCTGCTCATGGGCACTTTGGGTAACAGCAGATGGTAGTTTAAGTACTTGGGTCCCTGCCACCCATGCGGAAGACGCAAGCTCTGGGGTTCAGCATGTCCCAGCCCTTGCTGCTGCAGGCATTAAGTGAACTAGTAGATGGAAGATCTCTGTTTCTGTTACCTGCCTTCAGATAAAGAAAACCTTCAAAGGTTCGAGAAGGAGGCAAGCAGAAAAATGGTATTAGATGACCGCTGGTACAGTGCTACTCTATCAGGCCTTTATTCTGAGCGCAAGAAAAGACACTGAAGAGTTTCAAACAAGAGAGATTAACTACTTTATATTTTTAAAAAAGATCGCTTGGATGGGGTCAGCATCATGGACTAGCTTGTTAAGCTCCGACCTGTGGTGCCACCTGTGATGCTGACATCTCAGACGGCCACCAGTTCAGGTCCTGGCTGTCCCCTGATAACGTGCCTGGGAATGTAGCAGAGGACGGCCTAAAGACTAGGGTTCCCCAACCACGTGGAAGACCCGGTGAAGCTCCTCATTTGGACCGGCACAGATCTGCTCTCTGTGGCCTTTTGGGGAGTAAACCAGTGAATGAAAGCTCTCTCTCTATTTCTCCTTCTCTCTCTCTCTCCAACTGTGCTTTTAAAATAAATGAATCATTTTTCTTTTTTTTTTTTTTAAAGAGGTAACTTGAACTTTTTTGTGCAAATTATTTATCTGGTTCCTACATAAAGAGAAACAGAACTGAAAAATTCACAGGGCATGCAAAACCTTCTACAACACGCCAGTGCAGAGGAGGTGAGTAAAGGACCTGCTTGGTGCAACGTGAGGGCTGGGTGGAACCCAGACCACGGGCTGAGCACACACGGGGAGTACAGGGTGGAACCTGCCCTGAGGACATGGACCCCTCCACAGGCGCCTACCCAGCGGTGCAGGACCAAGGCAGAAATGATGACAAATTACTCCCCTGCTCACAAATACCTGTTGGAGCCAAAAAGACAGGCTGCCCCATCTTAGAGCTCCAGAAACTCCCAGTGAGAGGCCGACCACAAGGCTTCCCATGCGGCCTCCTGCCATACTCACTGGGCAGCTCTCCCTAACAACCCGCAAGACTCAAATGTCTAAGTTCTAGCTAAGTGACACCTAAACACACACACACATGACCTCTGAGCACCACACATGCAGCCTCAGCCACTCAGAAGTGTTCCTCGGGGACATTAGTCACCTGACCTATGATCTTTTATATTGCACTCAGCAGTTTGTTTAATTCCAGAGAAGCAGCCAGAAGATTCACCATCATAGCAGACTGCAAGAATTGAGATCACCACTCCTGACTGACACGGGCCACAGCCCCGGTGAGCAACCGTGAGCAGTAATAGCTCAAGCCACGCCTGTGACCTGAAAGGACTGAGCACTGGGGCAGCCGCCACCTACCGGAGCCACACCACACTTCGGCCAGGTGGCACTCGCTCTCGCCGGGCTCTTTGCACAGATCCACCACATCTCGACACGTTGTGTCCTGGGTAACTGGAACTTCCGTAAAGTGCTGCTCGTTGTTACTGAGGTACACGGTAAGGAACATCTGGAAACAGAGGAGAAAGGCTAGGGTTACCCGTGCTGTCTGCAGCGGTGATGGCCGCCTTCCTCCCAGTCAATGTCAGCTGAGAGTCCAGATGGACCACACAGCAGCCTGGCAGTCCACTGGCTGAAGGGGACCAGGGCACCTGGGACCCACCTGGATGGCAGTCCTCCAGAGGCAGTGCCTGCACAATCCCAAGAGACCTGGAGTACTTCAGGTGCTTCACACCCAAGGACAAACCACATCAATCCACCTGCCCCTTTTATTTATATGTTTATCAAACATTTACACAGTTGTTAGTATGTGCCCCACCCACACTATAAATAAAGTGCCATCAACCCTGTAAGGATTACTCAGAGGACCCCACACCCAGCACCTGCCAATGCTTGGGCACTTTCTGAAAGGATACCTCAGAACCTAATCCAGTTGCTTTTGAAGGGGATGGGACAGAAGACAGAGCTGGAGAGAACCCTGGATTTAACGCCATGTGCACACACTCTCCAAAATTGGTGCTTTCAACCAAATTAAATACCCCACTTCCAAGTTAAAAATTTCATTAGTAAAATTTAAGTAGACAGTTATTAGGTTGAAATTCACCTGAATATTTAAGTAAACAGGTAACTAAAACTCATTAACAATCTTTCTTCCTTCCATTACAAATAGAGACTGTGTCGTAAAAACACTCCAACCAAAGAATTCAAGCTTTCACATTTATTGAATTTACAAAATTTATCTTTGCTAATTCCCAACACTGAAGAAACTGAGTTAAAGACCAAGCAAATTTTTGTTAAAGATAAAAATGATTAAGCTCCTATGATCACTCATTTCGGTGAGTACTGATTCTAGGCAAATTAGTATGTATCAGCATATTCAAAAACAGTAACAATTTGAAAGCTATCCCACTGTAAAAATTTGTCCTGGGAAAATAACTCCAACTAAAAACAAAGTACAACAGTTACAGCACATGCCCAGACAGTCCTTTAAAACAGTAAGCAAGAGCATACTGAACACTGGGGAAAGCAGGAGTTGTAGGCCTCCTGCAGAACCAGCAGAGCGAGGGGAACCTGTGCTGAGACACAGGGACACAGGACATCGTGCAGGAGCCACAGGGGCTATCAACCATGCAACTCCTCCTTCCGGCTTGGACTTTCTACCCATGACCCCAGAACAGTGAAAGCTGCACTAGGCTAAGGGGTCTGAGACCAGGACAGGAACTGGCTGGGACATCAGCGAGGGAGCCACAGATCTAACTCAGAATTGAGAGGATGCACGCATGAGAGAACAAACAGGGCTTGGGAGCTTCAGGGCAGCCTTTTACAAAAACTGTGCTTTCAGAAAGAAGCACTTTCTGTAACTCACACACACAACTATGACATAAAGTACAATCCTGAATATTAAAATAGTGGACACTTTGAAACAATAATTATTTAAAAGCTCCGGAGTTTGCTAGTATGAGCCCAGATACTTTCAAGGTAATTAAATAGGTTTTTCATATTGCAGTAAATACACATTTTAGGTCTTAGCTTAGCCAGCCAGGCAGCACTTACCATGACTACACAGAAATCATAAAACCCTGAAAACAAAGAGCAGAGAGTAACTACACTCACACAATCTCACCCTACCCCTGCTCTGAGCAGGACATGTTAGCATCAAACAGTACTCTACCACACTCCTCAAGGTAATTGCTCTCAACGCGGATACACAGGATGGCCATCTAAACACCAAGCACACACTACATCAACAAAGGAAAGCCTGCTATGAAAATTAATGGCACCTGCCCCTTGCACATTTCACCTTTCAGTGCTCTCAAACACATTATCTCAGAAATTTACATCAACTCAGATAGGCGGGGTAAGTGTCCTCTCCTCATAGATGAAACCAGACTCGGGGCAGTGATCTACTTGGCGATTGAAGTGAGAAGACCAAGGTGCAACTCTGTTGCTCTGTTCTGCCCTTCACTCTTTCAGCTTCCCTTTATAGTAGGAAGAGATGAGGCAATGTTCCAGTGAACTGCAGTAACCCATATTTTAATAAGGTCTGGTCTATAACTTTCTGGCTAAACAACACTCTGGTTATTTAAAAGTACAAGTCTTGACATGGGCATTGGCCTGGCAGTCGGGACACCTGGGTCCCACACTGGACTGTCTGGATGCAGGTACGGCTCTAGCAGCAGATTACAGGCCCAGGGGCAGTAGGGATGGCTCCAGTGACTGGAGTGCACACGTGGGTCACTGAGTGTGGCTCTTGGCTCTGGCCTCACATAGCTGCGTTCACTGCAGGCACCTGAGGAAGCAAAGCACTCCCCGCAAGCCCCACTCTCACTCACTCAAATAAAAAATAAACTTTAATTTTAAAATGGAGTTCATTTAAGAATGAGAGCTGTGTTCTATTCCAGGTTACTTTTCCCACAGGATTAGCCCTGGTATAAACAGCAAGCACAGGACGAGACCCTCTGGCTCCCTTTCATGTATGGAGATGACCCCATAGGGATTCCAGGACCCCAACTGCAGTCTGGACGCTAGGCCAGCACTGTGACATCTCTGTGGCCTGCCAAGAGGAGACCTGATCAGAACCCCAGATTCACTCATAATGAGAACAACTTCGGGAAAGTAAGCACAGCTCCCTGCAACCAGACCTCCCCATCTTCAAAACACGAATGCTTAGTGCCCCAGCAGCCACCGCTTCAGGAGTGTTTACCAGGTGCCAATTGAGGCCAGCACTTTGGTAACAACCTGCAGGTTCCACGTGATCCACTCACACACACACCGCCCCCACTGCATGACCTTGCATTGCCGTGTCTGATCTCCTAACTCCCAGCACCCTCTCTGCTTCACCAGCATCCCCAGGGGATGTTCCGTAAGTGGACCAGGTATGTTCCCACCGGGAAGCCTTTCACTTGCGGTTCCTGCCGGTACTGCCCTTCCCCGCGTGCCAGAACAGCTCCCTTCCTCGGTTCCTCAAGCCTGAACTCCAATGTCACCTCTCCCTAGTCTTTCCTGGCCACTCCCCCCAAATTCCAGCAGTGCGCACACACCCAGCTCACTCCCATGATTTATCTCCCCTTGGCACAGTTACCAACATACCACATATTGTACTAAACTCGCTTTTATAACCCGACTTCCTCACTGGAATGTAAGTGCCTCACATTCAAGGGCTTCGTCTTTGTTCAGTGCTATAATCTCGGCACCTATAACTACAACTGCTATGTTAACAGGCACACAGTAGGTGCTGAACCTACAGATGCTACTGTATGTGACTGATGACTTGCCCAGGTCACACAACTCTTCAATGGCAAGGCCAAAATCCAAAGCCAGCCAAGATCTCTTCCACAGTCTGAGCTCCCAATCACCACTATGACCATACACAGTACCAAATATGTCATGGCTGCTCGCTGCCTTTTAGGGCAGATCTTGGCCCCCAACACGCCGCCTGACCTCCAGTTTATTGGCACAGTAAGTTTTCCAGGGACCAGTTGGCTGTACATACTGGCAAGCACAGGAACCAGAGCAGGAGGCAGGCCTGGCAGGGGTTATTGTAGGTTGCTCCAAGTAGGCTACAACTCCCACTGGTTTACATGAAGGCCAAGTATGGGATGGGCAAGATTGGGCTGGACTGCAACACCCATGAGTTTGCGTAGAAGACAGGGCTGGAAATGAAACTGACCCAGCAATTGCAACTAACAGTGTGCATGAAGGCTGATTTGAGCGATGGTTTGTGCCAGACCCCGTACTGGCATGCACACAGAAGAATCAGGTCTGGGATCATCTCAGATGAAGTTTCTTTGGGAATTCCCCAACTGAACCACTGGACTCAAAACTCCAACCACAGAGGAAACTGCAGATTCCATGGTCTGACCATGGAGTGCATGTGTTAGAGCTGGGCAGCCTCAGTGGCTTACAGAGCAGTGGACAGCATATCCAGATGCAAATGGAAGATTTGGCAGTACACTGGACCCTGCTGAGGACACCTGGTACCATAACAGAGAACAGAGGACAGAACAAATCGATCAATTACCCCAGTAAAGAGTTGGCAGTGAATACCTGGGCAAACAGAGACTCTAAGTTGAACTATGTCAGCTGGAAGATTCTGGAGATATTATCGTGACTGGAGTGGCAAGACTGGCTACAATACAGAACTGCTGAACTATCAAAACTACCTGAGGAAGACCCTCGGAGAACGCCCCCATCAGCGACCCTGGGATGGTTGGGAGGTGGGGTGTGGCTTCTCACCTTGTCTCTCCCCCGGCCCCCAGGTACAGGAAGGAAAAGAGTGAATGTCAAATCAATGGTCTCACCCACTTTCCTTTAGCCCTTGATCCTTTGCACCCTAATCAAATATGTAAAAATTATCCAAAATAAAATTTATACAATAAAAAAAGTCTTCCAGGGAAGGTCTGCAGACGAAGCCCGCCTCCAAGGGGGAGTTTATGGGCGTCACGTCTGCCACACTGTCCTGGATATGGCACAGCCACACGGCAGTCATGCTGGTGTCCCAGGTTGGGAGGCTAGGGGAGGATGCCTTAGAGCCAATGCGGGGGAAAACAGGAAAGAGAACAACTCTGTTGAGGAGTTGCTGGAGATGTGGCATACACAGTGTGGCAAGGCCATCCACCCAGAAACTCCAGAGCAGCTCCTCCTCCTCCATCTCTCTCCTCATCCCTGCAGCACACACATATCGTGCACTATACAATCTGGGTTTTAATGCAGAAATGATCATAAACAGCTGACACTAGACACATCCCGGAACTCAGACACAACTATGGGGAGGGACACACCAGCCCACAGGGAACCCCTGGGCAGGGAGCTAGGAAAGATCCCCACCCCCATCTTACATCATCCTATGAGTCTCCACTGGGCAAACCCAGCAAGAAGGCAGGTGGCAGGAGAAGCTGCTGATGCAGTTTCTGGAAGCCATCCTCCTGGGGAAAAGAGCGGGGCAGAAGGAGATGAAAAAGTGGGAAGGCAGGGGGCATACACAAGAGATGGCCAGTGTGAGGGCCCTCC